GGTGACAATGGAGTTGAAGTAAGTCATGTCGATCCATTCGGTTGAGTCCATCACCGATGACAAGGAGTAGGTGTCTGAAGTAAGCAACGTAGCGTAACCAAATGACTCACGAGCAGCAGCGTTCTGCTCCCAATTTGAGGGTCCAGAGTTGTTGAATTCGGCGAAGGTGATGTGATCGGTACGTGGGTCGGTTGCAGACCAGATCTTCCATGCGGCAGGAATGATGGTAGCGTCGATGTAAGAATTCTTGACAACAACAAGAGCGTACGCGGAGTAAGGTCGGCCGAGGTAGACCTTGTTCGTAAGGTCATCAACTGCGTTGGGAGCTGCAGTGAACAAGCATTGGTCGAAGATGTAGCCACCTATTTCGGTGCTTGATTTCCTGCTGTGCGCCGTAATCGCCGACGACTTGCGCTTGGCTCCAATCGTGCATCCCTTGAAGTATGCCTTAGAGTAGCCCCAGATGAAGTCAATAGCACCACCAATATAGCACGACTCGTAGTACTGGTAACCGGCTGTTGCGCCGTTTAGGAGAGTGTCTTGCCAGCCATCAAATGAACAAGCGTAGAAGGCGATGTCGTTTCCGTAGATCGAGCCTGCGAGCGTGACGTATGAAGGCTCGGAGCCATCAAGGTTGTCCGTGTTGATCATGTTGACGTTGTACATGCTGATCCGGCTTGATGCTGTGGCAAATACAGCGGTCTCCGCGTTGGAGTGGCCTACAGGTAGCGGGGACACAGAAAGACCACGAGCAAAAGAGATGGTAACTTGATTGTCCTTGTAGGCTTGACCAGGACTGCCAGTAGTATATCCAATGATCCTAACAGCACCAGGGCGGTTGACAGACGGGATCTGCTCGTTGTAGGTGCCAGGGTATATGAAGATGGTCTGATTGGTCTTATCTTGAGGGAGCGAGGCAAGAGCGGCAGTGATGTTCGTGTACGCAGCATTGTTGCTACCATCTTTGGAGACGATCACAGCACCCAGTGGTGGCAGGGTACCGCTGTCAGGATGAGCATTTATGGTGGCAGTAGTTGTTGGCCCGGATACGGTGCCATTAGCCGAGGGTGACGGAGATGGCGATGGCGAGGTAGCCGTAGGACCCGTAAGGCTGTACGAAGGGATCGCATTGTACGCATCCATATCCAGCCACGCCGTGCTACCGATCCATGCAGCAAGCTCGTACTTTGCCGCTTGAGACGCTGTCAACTTGGTCGCAAAGTTGGCGCGCTGAGTAGTATCCGACCAACTACCAGGACCAGTGTTGTTGTATTCGCCGAATGTGACTCCAGAAGTCTGAGGGTTGTTCGTCTGCCATACGGCCCATCCGGCGGCGGATATGTGCTTATCAATGTACGAGTTCATGTAGACGGCGATGGAAAACTGGCTGTAGGGTCTGCCGAGATAGGACAATCCAAAGTTGTTGCCATAGGTAGAACTGTAGGTGATGACAGAGGAATCGAACACGTAGCCACCAGGAGCATCTGCAGTAGCCCTGGAGTTTGCAGCAACGTAAGCACCAGGTGTGTTACTGACGATCATGCACTGATGGAAATACGCAGTAGAGAAACCCCAGATGAAATCGACACTTCCCTCAACGTAGCAGTTGCTGAAAACTTGGGTACCCTTGTTGGCAAGTAGCGTATCCTGGAAACCGACGAATGAACAGCCATACGCGGCGATGTTAGCGCCGTAGAAGTCCGCAGCTAGCGCGGCGGTGTTGGTGGTCTGCGGGTACGTGTTGACAAAATCGATGTTGTAGAGAGCCATGCCAGAATCGCCACTGGGCTTGGAAAATATGACAGGGGTTTGCTCGTTCTTTCCAGCACTGGTAAGTTCACCACGGGAAAACTCAAGGCGAACCTTGTTCTGTGTATAGTCGTTCGTGAAATCGGTGAAGCCTCGGAGGGTAACCTTTCCCTTGCGGGTGATCGAAAGCTGCTCGACGTATGTACCCGCACCAATCTTAATGGTGTATGAATTACCGTCATTAGGCAAAGCATTGACAGCAGATGTAACGTTCGAGAACTCGCAGGGTCCTGGCGTCTTAGAAACTACAAGTGTCGGAGACGCTGCTGTGATGGAGCAAATCGATGCTGCTGGAGTTGCGCTAGATGTCATTGATGCGGTAGCAGTAGCGTTTGAAAGGAGGCTAGAGATGGCAGAGATGGACAACGACGCCGACGATGATGCTGATGAGGACACGGTAGACGAAGCGGTCGATGCCGCAGACGAAGCGGATGCAAGCTGGGCATCGTCTGATGCTTTCAAGGATGTCACAACATCTTGGTCAATCCATGTGAGCGAAGAGCTAGCGTAAGGGTAGAATGCGCTACCAAAGACTTTGTCGATGGTGAACTGAGAGACCTGTTCAGCCGAGAGGGGAACATCGTAGTTTGAACGAGCAGCAGCATTCTTGCTGTAAGATCCCGCACCAGTTGTAGCAAATTCACCGAAGAAGGATGGAGTAGTAGCTGCCGAGGGGTGAATACCAGCAGGAGCGACCAAGCTTCCTATGGCGGTGTTTCTGTAAATCGTCACAGCACCGGGACCGTTAGGAGCTGCGAGCCATACATTGTTGTTGGTGTATCCAGATTTCTGCTGGATGGAGCTCGAATCGAAGACAACCGTAGAGTTGGCGAAGTCGCCACCAGTAGGCTGTCCACCCTTGTTGTATACGATGAGGGCACTCGAACTAAGTGGCACGACTGTAGATTTGTAGACGTAAATGGTTGGGTAGTTGTAGAAGAGATAGTTCGAGCCCTCAATGTATGATTTGGCGAAGAAGGCGGTTCCATAGGAGGCAGAGATGGCAGTGCCACCAGGCGAAACGACTGAGCAACCGTAGAAAGCGATATTGCCTCCCCTGAGGTTGAGAACAACTGCATTGGTTCCTGCAGATACCGCGGCAGAGTTAACGATGTTGATGTTACGGACAGTGACGCCTTTGATCTTGTCGGTGCCGATCTTGAAAGGGGTGTCAGTGGCAGCGATAGTAACCTTGTTCTCAGACCAATCGTCAGCGCCTGTGGGTGTGGGCCCGGCAATCGTCACAGTAGCTTGCCCTTGAACAGTGACGGCCTCGGAGTAGGTACCGGGCAGAACGGAAACGGTGGCGATGCCGCTGTCCTGAGCTGCTTTAACAGCTACATTGATGGCGGTATAATCTCCAGATCCATCTGTAGCGACAGTGATGCATGATTTCGGACCTGAAGCAGTAGCCGATGGAGTCGTGAGGGGGGTTGAAGACGCAGAAGAAAGACGTGTGGTACTCAAGGTGGCATTCAAGGCACTACTCTGAGCAGCTGCAAACCCAAACAGGGCAGCAACAGCGAATGAACGCATAGCGAATGACGATCAACCGACGAAGACGGGAAGCGATCGATGAAGATTGGAAGTGCATGGTAGTTGATGATACTTAAGCTCAAGATCCTCACCATGGGTTCACGGGGCTGACTCCAAATCGGGTATACCACGACAACGTGGTCTGGATCCCGTTTACATTCTGACACTTCGGTAAATCCGTTTTCTACGCTTGTCGCCTGAGTCGTATATCGGACAGGGTAGATAGCCGGTGGGTCTCTCCAAAAGTACCAGGGAGGAAAGCCACAATCGATATCCACTGCAGTATAAGATGCTCACAGTGGCAAGTCGTGTCGATCGACAGACCATCGCTGCTAATTTTCCGAAGATTGAAGCTTAATTGCTGTGTGAATATTGATGATGCCGACTTTAGATTGGAACGGCGTCTGCTAACGGGTATAGAATGCAGGAACGAAAGCAGGATGGCATTTCAATTGTGGTAGGCTAGGCGCGTTCCTGCATGGCGTTCAGGAATAATCTTAGAAGTGTCGCCCGTTGCTTAACGAATTTCCACGCGTGCTAGCGCGAAGTGGCTTGCGTTCGGTGACGGTTCGGCCAATTTCAGCATGCTGACAGGGCCGCACATCTGACGATGTTGAAGGCGAGACTCAAGAGATGAGCCGAGGCGGTGCTCAAGAGCAGACAGGATTGGTGTTGGGAGTGCAGGTGTCATCCTAGCGTGGATTGTGTAGGTGGTGTGTTGTACGACCCACTCCAGCATCGGCCTCTGGAGCTCTAAGAACCAGGGTGCCGTCGATATGAAAATCTTTCTGGAGAAGTAGCCAAGTACCCATGCCAGACCACGAGGTCATCGTAAAATGATCCAGCATTTCCTAGATAACCGCGAAGAACCAGCGTTTTGGGGGTGGGTCGGTCCATCCAGTGTTCTGGGCGTCGGATCAGGGACCAAGTGGGCTAAGCTCTACAATTAGCGGCGAAAAAGTGGCGCGCCAAAAGCTTGGTAACTCAGTTCCTGGCTTTCGGTAGATGTGATAACAACTACAGGGGCGGTTGGCGGTTCTTCAGCTCGCCCTCGCACTCGTCCGGACAAGGGCAAAGAATTGTTCCTCCAATGAGTCTCTGTGTGGCTTTCGGGATGGGAGTAAGGATAGAGTGTTTGATTTGTCGCCATAAGATATATAGCCCTCATCTTGTATGTGCGGCTGAGATTCCAAGATGTAGGGCCGAAGATCGTCGAGTACACTTCGCGGACGAACAGTGGTCGTGACGCGCTGATGTGCGCGTGGGTGGACAAGGCTTCCATGCAACGTATCCATGGATATGTGGACCGCTCATCCAACACCCAGAACATTGGGTTTCGATTTGGAAACAATTTACTTGGCTCAGGGGCATCTCACGATGGGGGTTGTTCCGCGGGGCAGACATAGTACTGTCTCGACCTAGGGAAAAGAAAGATGAAGTTTTTCGTAGTGTTGCGAGCGCGTCAAACGTCTCAACGCGTCATTTCCTTGGAGCGCCATAAACTTTATCCCGATACCTAGATTCGTCAGCGACGGTTTCATCTGGCATTTGCCGTTCATCGCTATGGATTCTCCCGAATGAAGTGGTCAAAAAGATCAAGGTGAAGTAAGCACATAATCATTCATTGCTCGTTCTCATCGTCAGTAGACACCGGTCTACAATGTATATCTGAATCCCTCAAGCCCCTCGATAATCTTGCCGCCGTTCGCAGCCCGCTTGTTGGCCATCCAGAACTTCAAGTTCAGCAACAGCGAGATGATGACAATCATGCCTGAAGCGATCATACACGCAACGATACCAGGTACATAGGACGGTGCGTCTTGAGTCCTGAAGACAGTGCCGCCAATGATACCACCAACGCCTCCTGCACCGACCAGAGTAGCGCTGCAGAGAGCACGCTTCCATTGTCCACGGATGTTGTTTGCTTGCCAGGTGAGGATGCAGGGAACGTTTGCGTTTGCAGCGGCGGTAGCGAGGAAGACGCCTGATCATAGATGTTAGTGGATGTAAACAGGAAGGATTGTTGGGAGAAGGTGAACTTACCGAAGTATCGGACGCCTACATTGGTACTGAAACCGATCATGGGTAGGCCGATGAGAGCGAGGACACCGTTGGCGATGACCCATGGACTGCGAATGTGGTACTTGTCTCCTGCCCAGGCGAAACCAAGCATGACGAAACCGGCGAAGACGTAAGGTGGTGCGATAAGACAGTTAGCAGCAGCGGGACTGAAACCCATACCGTCTTTCAGGATGATGGGAAGGAAGTAGGCGATGGCGTAGGTGATAGTCGTGGTGAACATGAAGATGAATGCGAAGCCCCAGACCTTAAGATCCATGGCTCCAGCAAGGTAGCTCTTGAGGTTGAACGCCTCAGCGACGACGTCATGGCGGTCCTCTTCGATGCGTGCAACGATGAAGTCGACCTCATTCTGGTTAAGGAACTTCTTCTGGGTCTTGCTTGGCTTGGCAGCCATTTCGGGGAAGTCGACAATGAAGTACCATCCTACAATACCAATCACTACAGTGATAACCCCTTGAAGGATAAATATCCATCTCCATCCGGAGAGACCTGGTCCGTAACTGACAGGTGTAAGGGGTGCCTTCTTGGTGGGTCCGTAGTGCGGACCAAGCCAGTATGCTGCTTGGACGCCGTGGCCGCTGAGCAGAGAGAAGAGGTAGCCGAGAATACCTGAGAAGGCAGACGACAGCATGCCAATGAGGAAGAAGACAGTGTTGCGCTTCTGGAGCTCGAATCGCTTGTACCAGCATGAGAGGAGGTATGCAGAACCTGGGAAAAAACCGGCTTCAAAGATACCGAGAAGGAGGCGAAGAGGGATCAGTGTATGCCATTCCTTGACGAAACCAAAGCCGATCATTACTGCTCCCCAGATGATGACGATAGCAGGGAGGAAGAGTCTTGGACCCAACTTCCTTAGCACAACTGTAGCCGGTGGCTGGAGTGCGACGTAAGTGATGAAGAAGAGCAAGACGATGATGCTGTATCTCTCGCCAGTAAGCTTCAAATCGACACCCATGCCTGCGACCATGGCGACACCAAGATTGGTCCGATCCATGAGCGAGACACAGTACATGCATCCGAGTGTTGGGATGAGTCGTAGATCAACCTTGCGGACGATCTTCTTCTGCTCCTCAGGTGTAAAGCGAGTAATGGCGGCATCGCTGGCGGTTGTGTCGGACTCAATGCGTTCCAAGGTAGTGACGTTACCCTTCTCTTCAGCGAAAGACGCCATGGCTAATGTTGGAGTCCTCTGAGACCCGGTAAAGGGGGCTAGATGCGGACCTCAATTGAGGGATGATGGAACCCACGAGGTGGAAAAGAGAAAAGAGATAGAGAGATGACTTTCTGATTGAGAAGGATGAAGGAGGACCTATTTGCAGCTGCCGGATACTCGACTTCATATACACTTCTGCTTCCCCAGACTAATAGGCTCGCCTTCCCCAGATTCTTGCGGCGTCGCCTCCACCATACCCCGGACTCGTCAAACCTTAGCAGTCTGCATCCGATACTGACAAGCTCTCTAAGCTATGTCGCCTACTACCTATCGATTTCACCATGGTATGGAGTCTTGAGCCCATAGCTCCGGAGACGACCTACGACAGCGGTTAGCAGTATGAATACCAAGGAGCCTCAAGCAGCCTCAAGCAGAAAAACACCCGCGATAGTGCTGTCTGGGCCCGACAGTATGGCGGCGTTCACTCCGGTAGAGCGTGATAGCGCATGTCAACACGTTGTCGACAGTCACGCCGAGCCTATACCCCGCGTGCATAGCCATCAATATGGTAGGAATCTGGAGGTGGCTGTGATGCATTGGATACGTAGTGAAGTTTTGGGGCCTGGGCAAACACTTAGCGGGAAGTCCGCTGTGCGCTACGAGCACGTGGCGTGGGCCCAGACTCTCAAACCAAGGCCTGCAGCTGAGCAACTTGCCGAAATCCAGTGCCATCTGGAATTGGCAGGGCATCTTCCGCTGGTCCAAGGTGCGAATATCGAGATATTGATGTATCATGTGCGGAAAGGTTCCACAATACATGCGGTTCGACGCAACTCAATTCAAGATCAACAATCATTGCATGAGCCCTTATTATGCCCAACTGCACGCAAGTTATGGTCAATTTTGCGTATAGGTACATCCAGAAATCCGAGTTCTGGATGTCTTGGGCGTCCAGGTCCTATTATGTTGGTTCAATGAGTTTGAGGTGCGCAGAGTGCGGAAAGTTCCATGATCGCACTTTGGACATTTGCCTAACCGGCCCTTCTTTCGCGACGCAACTGTCACGCTGCAACGGATGAAGCTTCCGATAGCGACTTTAGTCGACGTATGCCTGAAAGTGTCTTCGAACCAACAGGTACTCCGACGGAACATGCCCTGTTTGTGTGCTTGGAAAATCTTGTGAACGTCCCAAGTGATAGTGATGTTACCGACAGTCCTGTCGCTCTCGGATTGGAGTAGGATTGAAGGAGTCTTGAAATTGTCATGCCGAGGTGTCATTCCAGCAATGTTATTAGACGTCAAGCTTGCCAATTCGAATGGCGCAAAATCTTTTTCGGACGCCTGTGAGAAACGCAACCACGAGTATGTCGGCTGGTCAGAATATGGCGGTCATCGTGTTGCTTTAGTTTGTCGCTACCAGAGGCTCAACAAGTGTGTAATCTCTAGTCGAATTGTGCAGTGCCGAGGCAAAATACGCGTTGTGTTGTCAGCTGAAACAGAATATGTAGGTTGACAAGATGGCAGGGACCGACGAAGAAACAAGCGCTACCTCTGAAGATCTATGTAGTTCAGATTACCGAGAGATAGGTAGTCATATCCGAGGATGTGTTGCAATGGCGTCGTTGATCAGTGATCAACAAACTATGCCGATCCGGCTTTGAGTCGAGAAGACATCACGTGACCTACGGGCCTGAGTCAGTTTGCCATATTACATGATGTACAGCTTGCAATGTGCTACTTTGGCTCTTCACGTTCGAAAACACTGACCTTTTGGAGACCAGAGTGACAAGAAGTATGCACTTTTGAAAGTCTCACTGGTTTGGTCTATCCGCTCCTAGACCTATTTGTATCGAGTTTCCAGAGTTAAGAAAATGGCGATCAGGGAAATCGAAGGTCGTGGTGAAGTGATGTTTGTTTGCGACCATCCTAGGTAAGGATCTTTGCGTCTCCTGAAGTTCACTGTAGTATGTAGGGCTGCCGCCCATGCTATATCAGTTGTGGCTTCCTCTTGGTTTCTCAGACGATTGATTTGTTTGGGAGCTTCTCATGGAGCAACAGAAGTGCTTAACCTTCTTCCCAGTTCTATGCTAAAGCGCCAAATCTCAACCTTGAGCGATGCTCAGAGCGCGATTAATTATGAAGGTTGCGCGTTGGAAGGTGGTTGCGGTTAGTGGCGAAAATGCTAGCGTGTAGTGGAGTCATTGTAGGGCTATTGCCCACATGCCGGGATGAAACCACCCATATCCTGGGGCGGTACAGGCAAATGTCTAAGCATTCACACGTAGGGAAAACCTGGAGTACATGGAGAACGGGTTGGGTATCGGGTGACTTCTACCTGACAAGGCTGGGGTTGAATCGTTGAATCCCGAACGAAGAGCAGACGTACCACGTGTACAACAAGATTTGACCCGACAACGAGACAACTTAGACATTTCCAGATCAGCAGTACTCATTGCAGAGCTCTCATTCGCAGAAGGTACTGGACAAGCTCGAAATCGTAGCTATTGCTTTTCCCTTATGTTGTCGCGTGGTACCTGTAGTCGCTGGCGGAGGATAGGAATTTTTGCCCACAATAACCGCCGGGTGGGTCTATTGGGCATCCTGAGTCAACATATCCATGGCGTCAAGGCTGGAAGTGGGTCCATAAGGCAGCGATGAGCCGCAAGACCATGTGTTCGGGACCCAATTGGGGACCTTTTGGGCAGCGAAGGATTCAACAATGAGACGGAGTGACATGCCAAATGTGAGTCACACGCCATGATAGGAACGGAGCGCAATCTCTAGGCTATAGAGTGGAATGGTTTGCGCGAACGAACTGAAGCTGGATAGTGCGGTGAAATGAAAGCGTTCACAATCCCATCTTTCAATTTCGCTCGGGTTCCGACGAGATGGTGGATTTGTGGTGGGCTCCAGGGCTGCGCTTAGCGAGTGTCCCACGCGTTCCTCCACCCAACCAGCGCTAGCCCAACGGCGAAGACGACATCAGATAGAAGAGCGCGACTGGAGTCTTGATATAAAAGGAGCGAAGCCTAAGAAGCAGTTGAAAGGGCTGAAACAATGGCTTTGGGGATTTGACGTGCAGTAGGTCATCGTGCATATGATTGTGCTACCTACGATCTCAGTACCATGCCCAACAACTGGTCGATTGTGGAACCAAATACTCATCGTTTTCAGGCATCATGGAATCCTGCAGGTTTTCGCGATACATCTTGTGCAGATTCTGTCCCGTATTTGCGATGGTGTTTTCCAGATTGCAGGCATATGACTGTGTACCGTGGTACAATGGCTGCCGATATCGCATTAATCTGACACAGGCTCCAAGCCAGAGATTTTGATATCTGCAGGGTGTCTGCGATGTGCCGAAATGATTCAGCCATGATTCTTTGCCGGTTGCACGAAGAGTCTAATCAGACGTCAGTGGAAGAAGTTTGTATGCGGAGGCCCTTTGGAGCAAGTCGGCAACCCGAATATGTCCGCTACCCCGCGGCAGAACTGAATGGATGTCACAACGAAGGTTAGCTGAGCATTTGACGTGTGCGACGAGCGCTGTTCATAACCTGGTGTTTGGCGCTGACTGGGTTGCGCAGAGTGCTGCAACTGAGCCGAAGCGAATGTGTTCTGAGTGGCAATCATCAAGCATCACGGCATATCCATGGCGCAGACGTGGGTTGAGAGGGGGCCACAGTAGTACAAGAGTCAACATCATGTGTGGTGGTGTAGGTGCATTGGACGAGCGGTCACCTTTCCAGAGAGGGACCACTGCACCATTTCGTCTTACAGCAATGGCACCAGCGAATGACAAAGACGGGCAGGATGCACTACATGGGAGTTTTGATGGTGGTGGTGGTGTGTTTTACCACGACTGCCTGGAGCTTGATCTAGCAAGGACGAAAAGTTAAGACGCTGTACTTTGTGTATAGAGTCCGTGCCATGACGACGGTCGATCACGACATGATGAGAGGAGCGCGGCAGCGGCCACCTCGGATGCGATAACGGTCATTGTGCGTGTGACGTTCGCGATCGAGGTGCCGTGGAAGGTGCAGTTTGGGGCATTGGTCGCATTCAGAAGCGCATTATTTGCTCTGGTTCTGGCCAGACTTGTTGAGAGTATTGCGCTGCTCGATGTGGTGCGTCTCTTCACCGGAAAGTTTGGTGGGGTAGTGTAGACGACTAGGCGAGTAAGCAACGCTTGACGGGCCGCGTGATTAGAGCTGCGTCCGAGGCGATTCGATGGGGTTGTTACACCGATACGCTGTCTTGCGTGTGAGTGCGTTAGTGCCGGGCAGGGCAAGTGCTAACAAGATGTGATTTGCGTGGTTCTGGCAACGTAGCGCCAGTCAGCCTCAAGACCGAACAACGAGAGCTCGCAGTGGCGAAAGGACACATGTTATGCTTCGCGTCGTGGAGATTAATGAAGGTAACGATGGTGAAAGTGCTCTGTTGTTCCTGCATGATAAGCGCGATTGACGTGGCCGAGCCAGGAGGAAACGAGTTAGCTGTTAATAAACGATGCAGTGCTGAGGCTCCATGACGTGAACCGTGAAGAAAGGCAAGGAAAAGTTCGATGGAGCTAGGAAGGTCTGCCTGCCCTACGACCGTTCACCGTGTGATGCTGCAGAGAATCGCGGGCGTTGTGATAATACACGATGACGCCAAGGCGAGGTGTGATCAGCAGCCGAGGACGCCGTTCGAGTCTAGCAGGCGGGCAACAAGCTTTGGTGACGGCTGCATCGAGCGTCGCGGGCGTTGAAGCCGTGGTTCTGATGAGCGAGGGTGCTGGTCGTGGCTCTTGCGAGGGCGGTGAAGTGGTGCATCGAGGTGCAGTCCGCCCTCGCCTTCAGCCCTCACAGACAGGCGAACGGCTCGCATCAACGAGGGCCGGGCAATCCCGGTTTCACGTCGTTCCAACGGAGACGATGCGCGACCACTCAAACCGATGGATGTTGCGCATCTGAGGCAGCCAATGGCCACGCGACTGGCTATTATTACGACCAAGACACCTATGATCAGCATCAGGGTGGCCGGGTGGACAGGGTGGACAGGGTGGGCAGGGTGAAGCAGTGTGGGTGCATGGCGAAACTGTTGCAGACTCGGCCTCGGAGGGCAGGCCTCCCCTACACGGGCGGCAGAGTGGAGTGAGCAGTCGACATGGCAATCCAACTGAGGGCAGCTGTTGCGGCTGGCAACGAGGGCGTCTGCATGCACACTCAACCAAGAAATGGTGTGGAGGCTGGCTGCGTCACTCGTAGCGGTACTGCGCGCTGAAAGGGCCGTAGAGGGCGGCAGAGACAGCCCCTCCTCCAACCACTAGGTGTTGGAGGTTGACTGGGCAGCGACGGATGCGGTGCGCGCCCAACGATTAGACGCATTGCATGAAAGAGCTAGCCCGCTATAAGGCAGTTTATAGTACCACGCCGTTTTGAATTTTACGGGCGGGGGAAAAGTTTCGTGTGTCGAAGCCCGAATAACGCCTGCATGCCTGCCTGCCAGCCTGCTGCACAAGAACTCGCCCGTCATACTCTGCATCTGCCTCGCATATCCTCCTGCTTCCCTCGTCCCCTTTGCTCTGATCTTCTTTTCCCCCTTCACCCACACCGTCTTGATGAGACGGTAGCACCCCCCAAAGACGCCCGTGCTAATAATGCGCTCTCGACGTCTCGCCTGATTGTCAAGGATCGCCCCGCGACGCTTTTATTATCGATAGAGCCGCTAGATATTTTGCCGACTCCTGCCCTCTGCGCGCCTGTGAAGCCCGCTACTCTCCCACAGAACAAACGCCGCTGCCAACATGGCGAGCCCACAGGAGATGCAGCCTACTGTCGAGGACTGCTTCTCCGATGACAGCGAAGGCGGCTCTATTCCTTTCCAGGGCCGGCGCTCGCCCAATGCCGCTAACGTCTCCACCAAGCGCTCGCACCCATCCGACTTGGATAAAGAAATGCCGCCCGCTCAGGAGAGGGCGCCGACCAACATCGACCTTCGCTCCGACTCAGGGTACAGCAGCTACACCACCGCCACCGTCAGCAGCACTAATTCCGCTCAAAGTGCTCCTCCCCAACGCAGCAGCCCGCCCCAGGTGCCTGCTGCTCCAGTCCCTCCTCAGCAAGAGGCTCCCAAGATCCGCCGACGCCCTACCGTCTCAGAGTCGACCAAGCCCTCCTCCAAGGCTTCGTCCCGACCCAAGTCAATCTCCCGCACTGCCTCGACCTCGTCCAAGCCCCCAGCCATCATCCAGCAACGCGAACGCCGGCCGACCGTTACCCAGGATCCTCGCCCGGACCACAGAGATCGTCGTGATAGCAGAGTCGAACCGGAATGTGCCGACCCCAGGCGCACCAAGTACGACCCCAACGCGCCTGCCCCAGCTCTCCGTCGTCATAACATCCGCCCTGAGATTCACCCATCTCAATCCGCTCGCGACGTCCATCGCCCTTCCCAAGAAGACACCCGCTCAATGCGTTCTGATCCCACCCCCTCCCCGTACTACCCGGACCAGCGCCAGTCCTACTACTCACACGCTGGTGCCGTTATCCAGCCAGCCACGACACGTCCCCGTCGTCCCTCTGTGTCTCGACCCGTCAGCTACAGCGGTGAGCCTGGATCCCAGTACCACTGGACTCAGGGAGCGCCTGGAGGCTATGCAGGCCACCCGCAAGACCATGGGCCGCCCCTTTCCCAGTCTGCGCTTTACCGTCAAAGCTATTCAGGCCAGATGGGCCCCCCACCCGGACCATATGGAGCGGCACCTGTATACCACCCTCAGTACGGCTACGGGATGCCCCCGTCTTACGACGGCATGCAAAGGCCAGGCATGACACACCGCAACTCGACCAATATTGCACGCAATGGACCTGCACCACCCCTTGTCATCGACCAAGCTCCGCGTGATCAGTATTCGGCAAGGCGCGGCCAGCCTCAGAGCGCCACACAGCCCAGGTTTCCACCCCAGAAGCAGCTCCAGGGCGAGGCCTACGAGAGTTACAGCGAATCTGAGAGTGCATCGTCTGACGAAGACGACGACTATGAAGCCGAGCCCCATCCCGACGATCGCTATGCCCAGCGTGCGCTCATGCCGCCTCCTCCCCCAAAGCTTGAGCGGACCAAGTCCAAAGCGAAGCCCAAGAGCAAGAGCAAGAAACTGCAGCGTCCATCCATCTCCCACGCCTACACCACCTCGGAGGTCGAGCAAGTTCGTGCTGACCGCCGCAAGTCCCAGCCTGTCGTTGTCAACCACGACCACCCTACCAGCCGTCACCGTACAACCAAGAGCACAAACGAACCGTCTCGCCGACAGTCAGTCAGCCGACCTCCTCCTCCACCACGTGAAATTCAAACCGAATATCCCGCCAGAGGTGGCCAGGTCTATGTGCACGACAGCACTAAGGCTGAGCGGCGCCGATCAGCTCATTACGGAAAGTCTTATAACGACAGACATGCCGAGGCCAGGGAATATGAACGCCTCGAAGCTGAAGCCAACGCTAAAGCTGATGCTAGGGCTAGACGCGAGGCCGAGAAAGCCGAGGCGCGATACCAGGCTGAGCAGGAGCGCAAACGTGAAAAGCGTAACTCAAAGGTCTATTACCAACCTCCCGCCGCGTTCGACAGTAGCGACGAGTATGAGTCCGAAGTCGAGGCTCCCATCCCCGAAGCTCCAGCTCCTCCTCGCCGCCGCCGTCCTACTGATGCGGAAGGTCGCAAGGTCAAAGAGCGTGCTCCACCGAAGGCCAGGCGAGACGAGATGAAAGCGTTGGAATACATCAACAACCAACGCGGTACTGATGCTCCGTTGATCGACCACATCCACAGTGCCGCAAAGAGAGCTTCTAGGGTACCGTCAATACCCTCTCATTCTGGCTCCTCTGGAAGCGACAGGCACACGGCCGTCACCAGCAACGGCAACAACGAGATTCGCCTTAGAGTAGACGCAAATGCCCCACTCAGCCTGCAGTTTAACGGCGACATGGAGGGTCGCACCATGCGACTCATCCCAGGCGAGGACGGCATGGCAGAACTCGTCATTAGCGGAAATCCTGACGGTGGCAGCGAAAAAGGCAGCAATGCAGGTGACAGGAAGGCATTGGTCACGCGGAGACAAGCAGAGGAGATGAACGAAGGCAGTATACGCAGCCACCGTAGTAGACGCGAAAGCCGAGTAGTACGAGATTCTCAAGACGATAGAATTGAGGTGCAGCGACCACTGCGTCGCCGCGCCAATTCCCATTACGTTAACTGAGAATCTTCGAACCTCTGGCATTCGCCCACACTACAAAGATGCGTAGACAGACTTCGGCCTTTCCTCCACACGTTACACGCCTGTTCCTAACTTATCCTTGTCTGACCGGCAATTTTTTTTTTCGATCTTATTTCCTTCGTTGGGTGGATGATTTTCAAACCAAAAGCTTTTCACGAGCGTGGACAGCCTTCTGCGGCAGACCTGCTCAACAAAAAAGTTCGGATCGGTTTCTTCATCGCGCTTTCGATTTTGGTACGGTTACCCACTCGCGCTGCATGTTAGTATGTTTGCTGTGTTCCTTGCGACAGTGCAGGTTACATTGTTATTGTTTGCTAGACTGGAACGCTCACGCACACCAACATATAATGCGTAAGGGCGGTCGCGCCATCTGGACCTTTGGATCGATCACAGATTGGACGGTTATCTTCTTCCTACCTTTCGTCGCGCTTTTTTTTGAGCGTTCTCCACACCACCCCCCTTCTTTTTTCTTTCCCTGCACTATACCAGCTCCTCACGGAGGCTTTTCGGACCTTTTTGTTTGGCGGATGTAATACCCTTTTTTTCTCTATCACTTGTTGTGGCTGGATCTACGTGGCAGCAGAAATGTGTGGGGTTTCTTTTTTTTCGCTTGTCGCAAAAAGTAAGCAAAGGTCGATGTGTTGGCAACGGCTACGACGCTTATGATGATGGTTGTATGGATCATGAACTACGCAGCGCTCTGAATGTTTTCCATTTCTTTCTTCACATAGCTGAATGGGATTGATAGCCAGAACTGATCTAGAGGATACTGCAGCTAGCCTGTAAGCATCACTTAGGATTACAATCACATCTCTTCCGCCCTCTAGTAATCAGTGTACCCTGTCTTGGTTCACCGCAAATGTGATGCGTAATGATGCCACTGACCTCAGCTTGCATATCTGCTTTTTCGTACCGCATATGCAACCAGCCCACGCTCACCCCATCCCAATTCGGTCCACAATGCTCCGACATGTCCCACACGTCGTTCTTTTTCCCAGTGTTCCAGACCATTGTTTCGGTACTGTGAGAAACGGGGAAGTGCCGGTACTAGACGTATTGGTGGTGTCTGTTTGGACGGAGATTTCCGGCATTACTAGTCATATTTACATAGGTATGATATACCCGCCTCACTTGCCTTGCTTGAGTTGGGCGAGTGAATGCATGGTGGGTTGCCTACGTGTCGAGATTTGAAATGAGATGTACATGACCAGTTTAGTAGCAAAGTAAAAAGTGAAGCAACCATTGAATTTATCTGATGATATGTCAGTGGCATAATCCTGACAGTCTTCTCTCTTCAACACTCGGGGTAATATCACTACGCTGAGTGGCTCTGCTGTTCCAACATCGATTCTGCTTCTTGCTCTTGAGCGGAATGTTGCGGAGAAAGCGGTCTCCGCTCACCTTCCAGAAGTGAGCTGTTCGTGTCAGCCACTCCTCTACTTCCAACCGATGACTCTTCGTCACCAACTTCATCCGGCCTAGCTGCCTCAGGCCCATCAACCCATTCGATACCCTTCGCATCTACGAGCTCAACACCCCACCTGACAGCTCCCCTCCGATCCTTGAACCAACCTAACCTCGTCATTTCGTCACTGTTGGCGAAACCTTGAACGCTCTGCTCTTCGATTAGACCAATTAGACCATCGCTCCCAGCAACCATGGTAAGTACGTCTGCCAAGCACTCTATAGGGTGTTGCAGAGATGAGATTGGGTATACGATCTGCAAGCTCACGATGAGAACAATCAAGATGATCATGAGCAAAATGAGAATGGTCAGAGAGATCCAGGTAGCAACCTCATTCATGACCAGGACCTCGAAACGTTCCGTGAACGTTGCGTTGATGGCACCACCTTGCCGGTCAAAGGCATTGTCATAAACCGCTTTACCAGAATCATCATTTGAACGGAAATCACCAAGGTGCGATGATCCAGAATGAGCAAAGTGCTTGAAGAAGATCTGCAATATCTTTTCGGAGTGTCGGAGTAGCGTTGTTGTGTTTAGTAATGCATCTGAGTTCTTGTTGGCAAGGTGCCAGTTTGCGTAGGACATGAAGTCGACATTGAGACCACGGTCGCGATCGCGGATGTTGAAGCGCTCGCTTTCTATTTCCTCAATGCTCTTGTTGTATGAAAGCCAAGAATGTGCCCTTCTTGGAGCGATGACATGCGGAGCTGTGAGAAGCTGGGTCATGAAGAAATGACCGTAGCTGGTAAAGGTAATGGCTAGCTTTCCATGCTTTTCATGCATAAGTCATGAGCATGATGCGGTAAACCAAAAGCTCAAGTGCTCACCTAATATTTCCATGACCATAGTTTTGTGTTGGTTCAGGATACATGATATCCCAGGCGTACTCCCATGCATTCTGATCAGGCTGGGCACCAGATAGCAAATCGTAGTCCAGGACGTTTCCGGAGCTCCTGGCTACGATAACGCTAGCATTTGCAGCCTCGATGATCGGGACACAGTTCACTATAGACATTTTAGGCTCCTCTGTGAAGTGGAGAAGCTCCTCACTTGCATTTCCGAATGGAAAAGTGTTGAAGTCATCCTTGTAAGTTGTGTTGAGTTCAGCTCCAGAGATTTCTGCCGTCGCTCCTAGTCCAACAATCTATTTCATGGTGAAATTACGATACCAAGAACCATGGACAACTACGTTCTCAGGTCCGCTACTAGGACGCGAGAATTGTTCACAGCGAGAATCAGTCGCATTTGCGGTGCAATTCCATTTCAAAACATTAGGGTCTTCTGGTTCAAGCATTGAGCTGTTGCTAGTCCAGTATGCAACAACAGCTTGCCCACCCGGATCTGTGCCATTCGCACAGCATGACAATCGTCTTGGAATTGAAAAGATAGACGTATTGTACAACTCGCCGTTGAACAGAGTAGTCGGTAGAGCAAATCCTGGTATAGTCTTGTTCGTTCGGTCTGGGTAAACGTCTGCAGCCCGGTTGAGCCAGCTGGAGTTTGGCACGATGATCGGAAAACACTCCAACCGACTTCGAAGTGCAGACGAAATAGAAGAGATGTTAGCAGGTGAACTCAGAGGATCCGAATTCGAATGGTTCTCATCTTCAGAGGTCGCCTTCGAAGACACTGTGACATTTGGTAACCAATCTATATCGAGGGGAGTGAAAATCCATTCATCTTTAGTCCATGGTAGTTGTGGTGGATCGAGAATTATCTCGTCTAGCGCATTATATAACCACTGAATCTTTGATGCTTCCAGTAGAGATTCAGTTATCTCGAAATGACGTTCACGTGTGCCATCATCGGTTTGATAACAATTTAAAGGTTCTTGCCGTAGCGAAAACGGTGCTGTGATGGTGTTATCTGCATCTATTATTGGCTGCTCTTGTGTGACTGCCTGTCTCTCAAAGACAGCAGCCATAGATATGATGACTGTACAATCAGCTATATGTTTTTATTGGAGCAAGAAGTTACTTACGAATTTGTGACAGAGTTGTTTCGGCAGCAACAAGACATAGAATCCAATGTTTGCGTAGCGCTGCTTTCACAGCAGCCCATACCCAGAACGAAGATTGGTACGTCAAAGATGCTGCCCGTCTGGGAGCCACTGGATTTCGCGACATGGAGAGATATGGCTGCAAACCCCGCATAGGCTTGTCAACACCATCCCAGCTCAGACCAATTCCCACTGCGATCAGTGTAGCTATAAGGGAGTGAGGCGAGAAAAATGTGTTGAAAAGGCCCACGTCGACTTCGTAGGTGAATGCAGTACGGGAGAGCCTTTTCTCTCGTGCATATCCGCGAACAATCAAAATGGCTATTGTAGTGGCAAGGAGATAAGCTAACAATGCGAAGAGCCACCTTTTGTGGAGCATTGAGGGCCTCGAGTCGTTTCCAATGCTGGCTTTAGATTTTGGAGAGCCTGGAGACAGTTCCTTCTTCCTAGCAAGTAAGTCTGACCCTTCAGCTTTGACTGCCTCAAATTTCGATATGTCCTCCGAAAGAATGCTTCCTCGCAAAGTGTAAGTTCGTGATTCAATCGTCTTTTGTATGTGTGGTCGGCCATGTCCAGCTAGTGTTTGTAATGTAGCCATAGGAGGTGAATCGGTTTTGAGGAGTGAAGCTGTCCCAATATTAGCCGCAGGATCCGATCTGAGGCCTAGCGGTCGACGTCTGGTCGATACGCTAAATACCATGCTTGTAAGATAGCATGCCAAGAGCAGGAAGAGCACAGATAGCGTTATCCCAATCTCAGTAACAACCAAAATCCTTCCCCTCACGTGTGTAACACTACCAGGTGCACTGTCTAGCTCTAGGACGTCTGATTCTGTGATAGACGATAGCAAGAGCTCCTTCGCAAAATGCGTTCGGAGCATGCTAGCTTCCATTTCTAGTGTGTCACTCTCCAACATCATGGAAATGTTCTGGCCGAACTTGTCTATAAGAAGTGTGGATATCCCCTCAAAATCGCCATGGACAGTAAGTGGTATGGTAATGTACTTGGCCCAATTGCTGTCGCGAAAGGAAATATCGTCTATTAAGGCAAAATCAATAGCTTTTTTCGGTACGGACTGGCTTCGTCGCTTGAACTCGGAAACGTCAAAGGAGATGGACGTTTCGGCTCCACCGATCGATACGGTAACTGTCATGGCAGCTGCGTTGTATTGCGGAGTGCATACAGCAGATCGTACCGCGAGATTTTCCCATGAGGCTAGTTCCCCTTCGGGATAGTGGATCCATGGCGGCGATACAAGAAGCAGATCACGCCCTACACATTGCTCAGAGATGCTATGTATGAAAGTGTGAGACCATTGTTCGAGGACCATGTTCCCACTAGCGAGAATTTCTGGCGTCTGGCCGTACTCATCAACAAGAGTTTGCCACGACACGTAGTCGGAGGACATATTTGTCCAGATTAGGCCACCATCCGTTGAAAAGGTATCGCTCTGGAAGAGCTCACCCGTCATCACCAATGCCCCATCCCAAACATCGATGGGTCCTTGAATCCGAACTTCACAACCGTCCTGCGACCGAATCTGCAATCCTTTGGACTTGACGGTACAAACATCGTTCGGGCACGCATCGTTTGACTGTGAGACGTTCGCGGCTGTGTAACTGATATCTAGAATGCTCTTATCAGATAGAACCATTTGTGTACAATGATAGTCTGTATGGAACACCTCAGTCTCTGCTTGCCAGATACCGTTGTCGAGTGATACGCGATCGATGCCGCTGTTGGATGCGCCGAAGGGCACAATGAGATATGAGTCGAACATCCAGATTGATGTGGAGACGTTGAAAAGATATCCACTGATAGCGCGGGAGTAAGTATCCCTTCGGGGTACGAGCTGGATAGGTGATAACTCTTCCCCCATTGTCTGACCAGCTGCGTACCGTTGTAGTTGCACACTCTCCTTTGTCAAAACATCCTTTGCAATTAACAGGGACGACGAGAAGGTTGAGATGCCGAGTATGCTGACGCCAGCTGCAAGCGAAGACAAGGTCAGGGCCCATCCTCTGTATCCGCCACTCCGCCTTCGAGAAAAACCTATGAAGATGCTTTTCCACCATACCCTGGGCGAGTAGAATAGGGTGAACTTTGCTTTGACGGTCTCCGGGCTCGCCATGCGCGCGTACGCTTCTGTTCTTTTTACGTCCTCGGCAATCTGAACGATAGTCTGCGTGAAGAAGACCGCAACGATTGTGGGCGTATATCTCCACCCAAAGAACAGTCCCGTGGACCTAATTTCATCTCCAAGTCCATGAGTCTTATAGGACTGCCAGCAAAGTGTTGCCAAGACGATAGACAGTACGAGTGACACTGCACTCGGGGCGATCAGGTAAGGGCGCCGCAGGGTGTAGGGTAGCCATTCGGTAGATTTCTGCAGATTCTGGTCTTTGTACTCTGCTATCAGATCGTCAGCCCATATCTAGCTTAGTAAATCGAAGTATTACGCACAAGATTCACGCTTTTGGGTGTTGTCAGGAGTTCTTGTGCACTACTGATCCAGCGAGTCGCATTCATCTACTGCATTCAGTGGAGTGACTGGTGGGCCTGCGCGATCATAGCTGGTGTCCAAGACTGTTTCTTGCTCGTGTATAGTATGAGGAGATGTGTCGATTCGCGGTACGGGCTCATACTGCCCCAGTATTCGTGACTCAGGCCTGGACACGCTGCCAACGGTGCTGCTTTGCACACTTTGCTCATGTCGCGCGTCAGCGTCAAAGTATTCGCTATCAGGAAGCGATATCCACGAATAACGGCCGCGCGGCTCTAGTGACAAATTAGTGTTTGGTCGCGACATGTTATCCGCACAATTGATCGCGGTACGCGGCTCCCAGGCAACTCTTGAGGTGGTCTGGCTAGATTTTACCGGTGATATATGAATGCTGAAATAGACAAAACAGGAGGCTCAGTGGTTTCAGGCAAGCAGCTCCAGTTTGGTAAGCCTGGGCACCATACTGGTTGCTGGCCACGCAACGATTACGGTCAGCATGCACAGCCTGGTTACGCCTGACAGTCCCTCATAGAGATACAACGTGCGCTAGCTAACATAGGCCCAACTGATGTTATCACAAAGGCCTGGTACTATGTACAACAATCCGGTGAGAATGCAGCTTTCGTTGATGTATGATGACATCTAGGCCGCAATGTACAAATCCCAAAGTCGGTGTCAACGCTAGTGCCCAAACTGGAAGGCGCTTTGTGTGGGGACAGGTGGTCGACCAATGAATGTGAGATACGACTGTAACACGAAAAGTCCTTGAAAGGGACCAATGAGATGTTACATAAAAGCAGGTGATAAATGCATCCGACACGTACTTCAACCTCACGGAAAAGAATCACAAAAAAATCAAGTGTTTCTTGTAGTACTGTAGCCACTATATGTGCTTTGCTAGAGCAAAACCACGGTCGTTGGCGCTCCCACATCCACCACAGTATGCGCAAACTGTCTGGTTGTAGAAGAAGGACCAAACCACGAGAGGAATAAAGTTCCTCTAAGAGGAAACTGGATTACTTAGGTTCAGTATTGATACATGAACATGAATAACTGAATGGCCTCTAGTATGACGCCAGCCTTATAATTCTGGGCCGCCGATGGACCGGCTCATCCACCACTGTAGACTGAATCTTCTGAAAGACCAAATCAGTCTTGACAAATACCCAAACACCTTACATGGACTTTGTCATACCAGGATGAGTGTACATAGCGAACATCTCGAGACTGCCATACACAAGACGGCTTTAGGTGAGCTGGAAAACCTCGTCCTGCCAGCCATACGTCTTTGCGAGGTGCCGACCGAAGCGCCAAACCCATATGAAAGGTAGTAGTACGCTATTCATCGGCATCGTTGTCCTGATCATCGTTGTCAAGCAGAGCTGCGAGATTGTGAGAACTAGCTTTCTTGGTACCACTCATGTTGATTCTATTGAACTTACCAGTGATCTGCTTGGTGGGATCATGGAGGTCAGTGGGGATAATGACGCAAATGTAATCGACTGGGGTCTAGCATTCAGAAGCCTCATCAAGCTCGGTCCAGAGTGATCCACGCTGTAGTGTACGTCCTTGATGATACCGCAGACGATATCGTGGGGTGTAGTACCAGTGCAGTCTCTTAAGCAGCCACCTACGGCATACCAGGATGCACCCGAAGCGGCTTCTACGTTTCTGAATATTTCGAGATTTTTCGGGCTTCGATGCTTGTTGACTGGACAGCGAAACTTTGCGTCTGGTTTCCCCAGATCAGTGAGGTTGGTGCTCTCGAGAGTTGTGTTAGCAGTCGAGTTACATTGCGAGAGATTGATAGCATAGCTTGTGATCAGCTCTGTCTGTCAGTGCTTGACTTAATACTGTACTCGTTTTGCCTAGGGTAGGAAGAAGCTGAGTTGGCGAAGACTTTCTGACACTATGAACAATTTCGAAAGAAGTGAGGCCGCGAATAGGGAATTTAAGTTGCTTGCTCGTTCATTGGTCTGTAGTGAATTGTCAAGTGTCTCCACCAATGCGTGTGTCTTTATCGTCTGCCTGACAGGTAGTTCCTAGAGATAACTGAATAGAGTGAAGACATGCTCCAATTATTTATCCCGCTTGCGATCACGCTTACCATCAAACTTGATGCGACCACAACATCCTCGACACTGCGATCGCACTCTTGAACGAAGCAGGCACAGATCCCCAATGATAAAGACCAGACTAGCTTTAGCTCTTGCATAATATCCAACTGGAAGAATTTTACAAAGGACCATGTCTCAACAAGCGACTCGAAGAAGTTCACCGGGAGTACTTCTTTAGTGTCCAAATTACCGAATCTAGGTTGGTCTTATACAGTAAAGAGAGCCTGTTTAGCTCGGAGATGCTCGGCACAGTTTGTTCTTCCGTGTCCCACTCTAATATATGACCATCCTTTGCACTGACGAGGCTCATAGCGTATTCCGTATTCTTGACGATCGTTGGTCGCAGATATGTCAAGGGCGCCAATTCTTAGTCGAGAAAAGCTAATTTACTTGTCGAACGTTGAACACGAGCATTCAGAAAAATGAGTAGTGGATTTGAACGTGGTTAGACCTTTGAGATTGAAATGGAGAATAGCGTATTGCGCAAGGCCATGAGAGTGCCTCTGATGCAGACAAACATTGAGAATGGGCTGATCGATATCCGAACGATGGCTGATGGTAAGCGTTGGCCAAGCTGAGTCGTCTTCGGGGCAGCCGAAGTAATGGTGTACGTGCTCGAAGTAGTCAAAGATGCCTGCTCGTGTGAACGCAAGGCCTCCAAATCTTGTTCCTCTAAGCACTGCCTGGTGCAATGACTTGGCTACTTGGGCTCGGGTAGTGATTTGAGTGATTCTAGCCATTGCCACTGCTGATCGACCGATTTTATGCATGTGTCGATTGGCAATAACAACACAATGTTTGGGACGATGAGGGGCAAAAGCTCAGGGGTGTTGAGGAAACATTGCGTAACTGTATGCACCATCAAGGGAGAATGTCTGTAGGCTGCAGTGGTGGGATTTCATGATGGATCGCTGGTAAGAGGAAATTCTCGCAGCCTGCGACAGCAAACAGGCGTCAGGCGAGCGCCCTCATGCTGCTGCAGACAACGTCACGAAGTCCATCACCATACAAAAATGTATGAGCTTGTATCAGCAACGGAGAACATATTGCTAAGCCAATCGCGCAAAGCAAAATATGCTTACCTGATGTCTTCTGTCGAGACAAAAGAATGACAGTCGTTCACTTTCAGCGTTTTGCAGTTGATGTCTCAGTGCGTCTAGGAGGTCACACATGGTGATAGTAGTAGTTGTCGCTTTTTACAGTTGCCATAACCCACACGAAGCAGGCACGCCCAGAGACGCGAAGCTCCCCTTCTTTCTTCTCAAAGTTTGACTGCAACCTTCCCCGCTTATACTCAATTTTCTTCGCTACATCGCCAAGTTGCGGTGAAAGCCTGTCAAGAGTCGGTCAGATAACGCGCAGATTGTCGTCGGAAGGCCGCAGACGATCGGAAAGCGACACCAGCGCCTAGAAATCACCGTCTCGCTAACGGCACAACCCGGATTCCGATGCGACACGAATTTACTAAGGCGGACCACCGCGCCACATCATACAACTTACGCCCCGCGGTAGAGGTGAGGAACGTTACACGTTATGGTTGGGGGGATGTTTGTTCCGACAGCAACCCTAACGCAAGGGCGGGGATCAGGCTATACGCCAGGCCGGGGAAAGCGGGCTGCGTGGATAAGGCTTGGGAGAAAGGCGTCGGAGTTTACTAGGTAGAAGGCTACGTCGCCTTACCAAAGATGAAACGACGTTGAGGTTACGTTTAGCACGCGTCTAACGTGCGACCCCACAGCTTCCCATTCGACGTCTCGATGAGATGATGTGATGACAGGTGAGCTTGGCTCAGGCTATCGCTTAACAAAAGTAACCAGAGGAAGGTTTGCGCCACGAGTAGTCGACCGGTAACGAAACTCGTTCGCTATCTTCAAGGACAACATGGAATTATCGTTCGGATGGCGCGGAGGTGAAGAATTTTGCTGCCTGCGTCGCGCATCGAGATCTGATCGCGACCGGCATAATGCTGTAACAAGTGTGTTTGCGGCGCCGAACGCTTCGATCTGCGCTTGCTCGACGATGGCGAGAACAACTTGGATCAGCCATGCCAGAGCGGCCAAAACGCAGGACGGAAGGAGGTCTGAGATGTCACTCTTCTGCCGTAATTTCAACCGGTAGAAAAGGGGCGGAACGATGACACCAACGTCAGTAATGCCTTGGCCGTGACACAGGTCGGCTCGAGCGTCCTTCCAGCAGTGTTCTCGAAGCCTTATTGCAGGAAGTCTCATTCCAACGTGGGCAAACGTCGCAGGAATTATTCCCGTGTCGCAACCCAACGCGGGTTGCCTATCCAGGTTTGTCCGCACTGCAAGGTGTATGAGTCGATGACAGGCAGTGTAAAAAGCCGTTGCAAAAGTGATGCGGTGGTACCTGGATGGGCATCAAGGGAGTAGCACGAATACTGATGATCAAGGTGGAGCCAACTTCTTAGGCAAAGTTCCAGACGCCTCGTCTTCCTTTTTTGAGTGGGCAGATCCCAGCCTGCTGGTATCCGGGGAATGCAGCCCGGAGCTCCACTTTCCCCATCTTGCTCTGCCGCAAGCCTCGCGTGGGATATGCATACCTATGCACATCGGAGAAGCGGTCAGAGAATTGACTTGGTCGGTCCGGCTTCGATGATGCCTTGCTTGCGACAGCCACCCAAAGGACACTGTGGTGTCTTGCTCGCCCACGTCATCCGCTTGTCGGCTTCTACCCGCGGACCGCCGCGGTGTACTGTACTGTATTGGTTTGCTTCTTCGGGCCGTCTGCGATAGGTATCATCCTTTCTCACGAGCAGGCTTCTGGTAGAGAGGATGCGTGGGACGCTGCGGAAGGGCCTGACGGGCTTGTGCGCCTTGTTTGTCGCACGTATCCTCGCTTCAAGAAAACCATCTCAGACACGTCGATGATGACAGGACGCCCAAGAACAGCCTTGATTCTGCGACCATGGAACAGGATCAGGGCGTGGGGTGGACTTTGCACCTTGCAGGTGCAACGATGGTCGCGCAACAAGGAGTTGCAACCGTCCGCTTCCCCGTGTGGCCGCGCGCATTTGATTGCTGATTATACTTTTGCTTTTAGCTCAAAACGTATGGCCCTTCCGAGAGTCCGTTACAACCCTGGTTAATGATGCGAGTCAGGGTTATCTCCTCGGCGGTGAATAGCGATCGTATCGGTACTCTGCACTTGTACTGTGGTATAAGAGAAGCGCCCCCTTCGACGCGGTATCGCCATTTACCACGCATCGCAAAGTACGACCTAGCTTTACGCTCAGTACTTATTCCTTATACAGGTCCTCATCTACTTGAAATTGAAAAAACCACTTCTACCTTGAGCCTCTTTGCTTTCTTCAAACATCCCATTTGCACTGAAGCATACCTCGGTGCAGCTTACACACAAGCCTCTCGCAATACCACACTTGTGTAACACGCCTCGCTCGTTGGCACCCACATACCAAAAGTAAGTCAGCCCCTTACGCAACCTTCTTCCCCATATCCGAGCGCATCAAGTCCGGGGTTCCGCCAATTCTGGTAGCCCTGTATGCCAACGCACGACCGCACCTAAGCCCTGTTCCAACAACCCAGCGCATTCTTCCTTGATATTAAATCTGACTCACCCCTTCCCTAGACACACACCTCAGCCTTGTTACCGAGTCAGCCCGAGTTTTAGTTGTTGTCACACTCCGAGACAGCACATCACATATCTTCCGCACCTTTGCACGAGAATCAGAATTACCCTGCATCGCACCAGCGCATCAATAACTCCGGCCCGTACAATCTTTTCGACTTCGTTGCAACTATTGAGTCAACTACCCCGGACACTGTCCACCTTTTCAGATAGTCTTTTCGTACCTACGAGACTCATCGTCAACTACGTATCAAGTACACACTGTCAAGTACAATCATCACACACAAATCACCAAGATGCCCGCCTCCGCAGCCTCCGCTTTCAATCCTCGTCAGCGTCTCTCTATCTTCACCAACTCAACACTTGGCCACGATGTCAGCGCAGCTTTCAAAGCATCCTCAGGTTTGACCTCGCGCTCCTCAGACGCCAACGAAACCCCAGCTCCGCCACCATCGCCAGTCGACTTCTGCTTTCCCATCACACCAGCCGACAGCCGGAGAGGTAGCTCTGGCTCAAACTAGAGACGCCTTCTCTTCTCGTTGCTTTGTTTGTACTTAGCGGGTTTGGTTACTTGATGTGGCGTTGGAGATTTTCAGGGTTTTACATTGTCATGGCTTCTTGCTTTGCGCGTTGACCGCTGCGTGCCTCCATTCTTCACTTCTTGACATCATTGTCTTATTTTTTTTCTTTGGCTTCGTATTCCCCGTCAACTTTGAGTTGACTTGACTGCATTACATTTTTTTTTGATTTAGATTTGGAATTTTCTTGCGCAGACGGCTTTATGGCCGCGAGGCTTGCAATGTCCTGGTATTTGGTAATGAGATATGCATCAACCACTCATCTTCATACTTACACATCTGCTCATTCTGCAAGTGGTTAAATTGCCTATGACAGCGATAAAACGACTACGCGTGGTCTCCACACCTCGACTCTGGTCAACCGTACTAACTCCACTCACCACGTTGAGTGCCTCCACGCTATCATGTACTTACATCCCACTCCCACGTCATCAGCCAACATATTCCGATCAGCGAACCTGACTCAAAAATTGGCCTAGTCTGCCGTCATCCAAACATAAAGCCAATGTCATACGGCCGCACAACCATCCTCGGACGAAATGTTCCTTCGGATACCGAGCGGAAAAATCCGCCGGTGGAAACGTTCCGGGAAAGGTGAGGCGACATGAGGTGAGACGTAGTGTGCAAATGCTGGATCCACGGTGCAGTAAGATGATTATTCCTTTACGTCTCGATTGTCCTTGTATTCGATGAAAGAAAGAATGCAACGTAATGAGACTTGAGTGATGATGAGTAAATGTCATACCAACATGGAAGTAGTTGCGATAGGAGACCTTCGGCACAATTCTCGGCGGCATGATCTGCTGCCATCAATATGTACGAAGTGGATAGCGATGTGTCTTGTCTTCAAGATCTAGCAAGGGGTACTGGATGATGTATAAATACACATATAATTACAGATGATCTCCTATAGGGACAACAGAGATCTAGCCACGGTGTATGCAGACTTCCAGCTCAAGGCAAACACAGACACCTTACAGATGTTTACTTAAATGATCAATGATTATGTTTGAAGAAGAAATCGCTTTTGAAAGGTCGGATTATGTCTCTTTCACTAGGGGCCAGACTATCCTCAGCAGCACCGACCTTTGCAAGTATTTCCTAGGCCTTCCTGTCTGATACCTTTACCTGACGTATCAAACTAGCAGGGGCGTCATGATACGACTCTAGGCCAACATACTTTCTGATCTTTTGCGCTCCCTTTTCACCCGCTACGGCGGTCTCTCCCTCATCGTTGGCAATGTGTTTAGTGATCTTCATCTTGTAAAGGTCGTCTGAGGCAACGTTTCTGAACATTTTCAAGTCTTCGCGGCGACTCGCTCTGAGCTCTTTTATCATCATGCTCAGATCGGTGCGAGATCGCGGTGTCGAGTCTTCTTTACGCAAATGCAAAAGTTCTGGGGTGCCTTTTAGCGGGGTGCCAGCCTTGATGGCGGTGTCAACGGCATAAAGAAGATCAGACTCGTAGTCGGCAGCTGTGTCCATCATTTCGTGGACGGTGACCCAATTCTGAAATCGGAGGTCATCCAGGGGTATGCCGGTTGGACTCACTGCGGGCTGAACAGGTGAATCAGGTGTGGCTGGTGGTGGAGGCGGTTGGTGTGGATCAGTAGTGAGCTCGTTGTATACCGATCGTAGATCCTCTTCACGACCCAGAGAAGGGTGTTGGGGGTCCAAATGCATGTATAGTGGGGATGCATGGAGATTGAGTCGTTGTCCGGACATAACAACGGTTTCAATGTCCTTCATCTGAGTCTTGAGTGCATCCAGCTCCGTTGTCAATTCCTTGACGCTCATGTATTGGTATCTGTAGTTGAGTGCGGACGTCTCTGGCATGTCGATTTGTTGAATGATGTAGCGCTCAGTGTTGTTGTCGATGGCATATGGCAACTTCAAAAGCTGACTTCGGAAGTAATCACTATGATCGGCTCGTCTACATGCCTTGGTGAAAGTAATCCAGTCTTCAAATGGTATTTGTGCACTGTTCGCCTCTGCATCTGACACAACAAGCGACCAATACTGCTCAAGTAACTTTTTGTCCTTGAGTAACCCGGCCGATGTTATGATCGTTCGTCTCTCGATAGGCCCAAGCTCAAAACCTGCCGCTTCAATGTCTTGAAGGGTGGCACTCAGTAGACTTGGCACGCGTAGCTTACCCGATATCGAGATGAGAGCCTGCAATGATTGAAGCTCGGGTGGCATACCAGCTTGAATCAGATCCGACATAATCTCATGTGCTGTAACTGCCAGGATGTCGCGCATCTCTGCTCCTTCTCCAACATAATCTTCGCCGCCGATGGGTTCTGGTAGCAACAGTTCAAAAGCACGGAGGAATGACCCGACGTGAATGGCTTGGAGAGTTTCTCCAGCCTCCAAGTAGCCATACATGGCGTTCGCAATGGCTCGGAGAAGCATGACACGATCAGCCATAGATTGTGACGCTCCCATGGCAGCTCGCAGCTTGGTAATGAGCGCAGTAACGTGAGTTGGCCTCATAGCGACACCAGCACGGCAAGCTAGCATAAAGGCCGTGTATCCTTCAGATATAGGCCTCTCGGTCATGAAGAGCTCAAAATAGCGGGGTGGGGTCTGTGTGGGAAAGATACGGAGTGCAGTGTCGAGCGCCAGATAAGCCCGTTTCCAATCACTAGCCAGTATGCGAGCGGTGAGTATGCCCTGGAGAAGGAGAGTAGGAATACCGGAGATTGTAGTAAGCTGGGTGCGGTCGGGCACGATGGCGTCAGGCGAGAGATGATACTCAGCAAAGGTGCCTGGGAAGCGCTTCAGTCCGTCGTTGTACAGATCCTCCAACAAGGGCAGAGGCTTGAGTCTTCCATATGCCATGAGTTCGATTGCAGCGCCATAGACAGCCTGCGACACGTAGCGCTCGTCTTGTTGGACCAGCCATTCCCAGAGTGCATAGCCCTCATGGAAGCGCTTGGCGTCCTTGTAGATACCGAACAGATGGACGAATGCGAAGGGGTGCGGCTCGACTGTTCCTTGACGTAGATGGCTTACCAACTGCTGGACGAAAGGAAAGAGTTGGTCTCGCTTGCTCGGACTGTGCTCGTTGCGTATGCGCACGTGAAGGACTTGGGTGATGCGTCGCGTGTCGTAGCTATTCAAGACTTTTGCCGCGAGTAGCGTGGGGTAGAGTTCCATGACAAGCTGGACATTTCGGACATGGCAGGCTTCTCGGAACTTGCTGACTAGGCGGACTGTCTGGTGTTGTGAGCACAGTCGGTGAAAAAGATGGCTGGTCTTACTTGATATTCTTCCGGGTCCAGACGAGGAGAAGGAAGAGGAAAAGACTTTGATTTTGCCTTGTTGGGATCAACCTTTCTGATGGGTGCCTTGCTCTCCTTGGGATTAATCTTTCTGATGAGTCCCTTGCTCTCCTTGGGGCCTGTCTTTCCCGCACTGCCTCTCCCCTCCCTTGCCGTTGCGTACGTGGCCGCAGTGCGAAGAAGACGAGGCGCAAGAAACGGGGCGGATGGACAGACGAGGGAGGCGAGTGAGGTTCGCGATACCTTGTGCATGTTGGCCGTGTACTGACTTGGACGGATGTGATGCGCCCGCCGAGGGTCGTCGCATCTTCTCAAAAGTTGAGGCGGCGCGCTAAAGCCCAGGGCGCACGACCTCCGTGATTGGCCGCTTCTCCGCAAGCAGACACCTATCAACCAAAACCCCCCACCGCGTCGACACCAGAGCTGACCCCATTGACGCCTGCATAGACGATTCTACACGTGCTCCACCATGTCGCGCCCTCTTTCCCTCTTCAGCGTCCAGGCGATCCTGGTCCTCGCCATCGACGACGGCTCCCGCATCCTCACAAAGTACTACTCGAACCCGCACCCGCCGGCCGGGCACCAGAATGACTACCCTGGCCAGATTGCATACAAGACGGTCAAGGACCAGAAGGCTTTTGAAAAGGGACTGTTGGGTGTGTAGACCGTTTCCGTGTCAAGCTACCCGCCCATTCGTCTGACACGTTGCACAGAGAAGACGGCCAAGCAGACGACGGACATTATACTGTATGACGGCAAGGTCATTGTCTTCAAGATGGAGTCGGACGTGATGCTCTACGTGGTTGGAAGTGCCGAAGAGAACGAGGTTCTGCTGTACAGGTACGGCCGCAGCCCAGCCTGGGCGACTCGAGCTCGAGCTAACACATGTCTAGTGTCGTCCTGGCATTGAGAGACTCGCTCAACATCCTCTTAAAGTAGGTTTGTCACGCACGGCTCGCCAACTTGTCTAATGCATAGCAGGAATTCGGTTGACAAGCGCACCGTCATCGAGAACTACGACCTTGTGGTATGTGCCCACCGTCGCAACTTTCCTAGCTTGCCTTGACTAACATGTGCAGTCACTCGCTGTCGACGAGCTCGTAGACGACGGTATTATCCTCGAAACGGACCCGGTCATTGTTGCCTCGCGCGTCAGCAAGCCCCCAGCTCAAGACATGACCTCGATGAAGAACATCGACCTCTCGGAACAAGGATTCCTCAACGCATGGGAGTTTGGCAAGAGACAGCTTGCCGAGAGGATACGGCAGGGTCTCTAAGCGCATTCTGTTTGCTGGGCATGGCGTTGTTGGAGTTTGGGATAAAATGCATCTGGCATTGCGACTGGTATGGCCCGGGACGCGGCGCATGGTAGAGTTGGTAGCGCGCTGCACAAGATAAAGATCCGATGAATATATCCTGCTTCTACTGACGCCTTCAACAGACGCCTGTCATGTCTGCTACGTGCGTGTGAACAAGGCGGTTAGTAAGCGTTAGGCCAGGAACCACGTCCATTTTCCATGACCCTTGCAATCGCGCTACTTGCCCACCTTCGTCATCGCCGCAGCCCACCAACAGTCGCCAACCCCACTAACCACAGACTCTGCACACGGCATCACCATGAAGCAGAGGTTTTCCAGCTTGGACGTCAAGGTGAGCAGCTTCATGCTGTCGGCCAAATGGAAACTTGCTAACAATGGAACAGGTCATAGCCCATGAGCTATCCGCAAAACTCACCTCGTTGCGAGTCACCAACGTCTATGACCTGAGCTCTGTATGCGTTCAACTACTTAGTATCCATGCAGCCTAGCCCCCTTGCTGACACTCAAACAGAGAATCTTCCTCATCAAATTCCACAAGCCCGACCACCGCGAACAGCTACTTATCGATTCTGGCTTTCGCTGCCACTTGACCGAATATGCGCGAACTACAGCCGCCGCGCCTTCCAGCTTTGTCGCAAAGCTGCGCAAATACCTGAAAACAAGGCGAATCACCTCAATCAGCCAGATTGGTACCGACCGCATTCTCGAGTTCCAATTCTCCGATGGCTTATACAGGCTGTACTTGGAGTTCTACGCTGGCGGCAACATCGTGCTGACAGATGCCGACTTGAACGTCTTGTCTCTCTTGCGCAACGTAGACGAAGGCGAGGAACATGAGAGACTGAGGGTCGGTCTAAAGTACAACTTGACTCTACGGCAGAACTACGGCGGTGCCCCGGAGCTTACAAAGGAGCGCGTGCGCCAAGGGTTGCAGAAGGCGGTTGATAAACAACAGGATCAGCCTGCAGCGACAGGGAAGAAGGCGAAAAAAGCAGCCAAGGACTCCTTAAGGAAGGCGCTGGCCGTTTCCATTACCGAATGTCCCCCTTTGCTAGTAGACCATGCGCTGCATATCGCAAACTTCGATTCGACTCTCAAGCCTGACGAGGTACTTGCTGATGATAATCTCCTAGGCAGTCTTGTAGAGATTCTACAGAATGCAAGGAACATCACCGACGAGGTCTCGACGCCAGATCAGATCAAGGGCTACATTCTAGCCAAGCCAAACCCATCCGCATCTACGGCCGATGACGAGGCTTCTGAAAAGTCCAAACTTCTTTACGACGATTTCCATCCCTTCCGTCCGCACCAATTTGAAAACTCCGACTATAAATTCTTAGAGTTTGATGGTTTCAACAAGGCGGTAGACGAGTTCTTCTCCTCGATAGAAGGACAAAAGCTCGAGTCCAAGTTGACAGAACGCGAACAGCAGGCCAAGAAGAAGCTAGAGAAGGCGCGCAAGGAGCATGAAGATCGAATCGGTGGATTGCAGCAAGTGCAGGATCTCAACTTCCGGAAGGCAGAGGCGATATTGGCAAATGTGCATCGTGTTACCGAAGCTACCGAGGCTGTCAACGGATTGATCAGACAAGGCATGGATTGGGTCGATATTGCGCGCTTGATTGAGCGTGAGCAAAACTCTGGAAATGCGGTCGCGCAACTCATCAAGTTACCGCTCAAGTTGCACGAGAACACTGTCACGCTGCTGCTCGACGAGACTAACTGGGAGGAGGGTCAAGACGATGAAGACGAGGGTAATGAGACAAGCTCTGTCAGTGAAGATACAGAAGACGAGGATGACAAGCCTAAGAAAAAGGCTCCTACCCCGGCCGTGTCCACTCGGCCTCAACTGGCTATCGATATCGACCTAGCTCTGAGTGCATGGGCGAACTCGACCGAATACTTCGATCAGAAGAAGACAGCTGCCGACAAAGAAGATCGCACCCTGCAAGCATCGACCAGAGCGTTGAAGAGCCATGAGAAGAAAGTTGCAGAGGACCTGAAGAAGGGTTTGAAACAAGAGAAAGAGGTACTAAGACCAGTGCGCAAGCAGCAGTGGTTCGAGAAATACATATACTTCATCTCTTCGGATGGCTACTTGGTCCTCGGAGGAAAGGATGCTCAGCAGAACGAAATTATCTACCGACGCTTCTTACGAAAAGGAGATGTATATGTTCATGCAGATATCAAAGGAGCGATGCCAATGATCATCAAGAACAAGCCAGATACTCCAGATGCCCCCATCCCTCCTTCGACACTATCGCAAGCCGGCAACCTCTGCATTTGTACATCTGACGCATGGGACTCAAAGGCTGTCATGTCAGCTTGGTGGGTTCGTAGCGATCAGGTCAGCAAGACTGGACAGACGGGCGAGTTCCTCCCGGCCGGTATGTTCAACATCAAGGGCAAGAAGGAATTCCTACCACCAGCTCAGCTGGTCGTAGGTCTTGCTGTCATGTTCGAGATCAGCGATTCCAGCAAGGCCAACCACCACAAACATCGCGTGCAAGAGACAGCAGTTTCTGCCGCGGAGATGGCCGACGAGCCCGCGAATGACTCGAGAGCTGCAGACGCGTCCAAGACTGACAACAGTGATGACGAGGATGACTTTCCAGACGCAAAAATTAACTCAGATTCGGAAGACGACTTCCCTGATGCGAAGATGGAACATACTGAAGAGAGCGACGCTGAATCTGAAGCCGCAGCGCCTAGGAGCAATCCCCTCCAGTCTAGGACTGCAGACGCGAGAGACGACTTAGACGAGGAAGATGAGCTAGCCACCGCCAAGGATGGCGACGAGTATGCCATGTCTGGCGGCAAAAACGGTTCTGCTGTAAATGAAGAACCCCAAGAAGACGCAGGCTCGGTAGCAGATACCGAACAGACTGTGAAATCTACTGGAAAGCGACAACTATCTGCACGAGAACGTCGCCTAGCAAGGAAAGGTCAACTCCAAGACTTACCCCAAGTTCCGTCTGACGCTGGTCCTACAGCTGACGGTGCTGGCCAAGAAGAGGATTCTTCAGATGAAGAGGGCAACGCAAAGAGCCCTCCGAAGGCACCCTGTACCGTAACAACGCAGAGTACGAAACCAAAGAATGCTCCCTTGCCCCGAGGCAAACGTGCGAAAGCAAAGAAGCAGGCGGCAAAGTACGCTGCACAGGACGAGGAGGACCGTGAGTTAGCAATGCGTCTCTTGGGTTCCAAGTCTGGGCAGCAAGCTGCGGAGGCTGCCGCTCAAGAAAAGCGTCAGAAAGAAGAGCAGGCGCTGGCTGATAAGCAACGCCGTCGAGACCAACATTTACGCGCGCAAGCCGCAGGCAAGGCTGCTGAAGAAGCTCGTCTACGCGCCTTGGAGAACGCCGAAGAAGACGACGAGGGCGATGAAGTCCTCAAGACGAACCTGCAGAACCTCGACGCATTCACAGGCCGACCATTACCAAATGACGAGTTGCTCACCGCCATTCCCGTATGTGCTCCCTGGTCTGCTCTTTCCACCTACAAATACAAAGCCAAGATCCAGCCTGGCTCCACCAAACGAGGTAAAGCCGTCAAAGAGGTCCTCTCTATCTGGGATCATGCCGGGAAGGACGCAAAGATAATCGACAAGAACAGCCAGGACGTCGAGCGTATCTGGCCCAAGGAGATTGACCTGATCCGAGGGTGGAAAGAGACAGAGGTCGTGGGCGTCGTGCCTGTTAGCAAGGTACGAGTCATGATTGCCGGTGGCCGCCGGGGTGCCGATATTGCGAAGGGAAAGAAGAAGAGTGCGAGAGGCGGCAGAGGCTCGAAGAAGAAGTAGAGGTTGGATGCGAAGCTTTGAGATGGGGCTGGAAATTATCGTAGTATCATGAAATTTTGCTAGAGACTTGAAACTATTTTCGACATCTAGGCCACATCATCTACTATACAGTCGATGAATCGAACCACAGTCTGTTGAATTTCACCATATCCATCTTTTTCTGCCGAGATTGGTATACTTAGCAGTAGTACCTAGTTCGAGCATACTATCACATCACCACTCAGTAGAACTCACGATGGTCATTTCGCATTAGGCTAGCACCACTAGTCCCTGCATATGACAACCAAGTGACGCCATGACATCGTGCTAAGTAATCTAAACCAAGCTATGTCAATACCATCGAAAGCATCGTACGGATCGACATGCGGGGTTACCGTTCATATTTCTGACGTAAATACAATCCATATCCAATTCGCTACACCAGTCATTCACCCTTACCAAACAAGCGCAGTGACAAAATATCACACGATGTCCTCTGAAATCAAACCTTTCGACTCCACTATCCTCCAACCAGAAGTCGATCGCCTCTTTCGCAAGCTAGCCGATACAAGATTGCCTACCCTACCCATTGTACCTGATGCCGGCGAAGACTATGGACCATCACTCGAGTGGGTACAGACATTGTACAATCACTGGCTCAACAAGTTTGATTGGGAAAGAGCTCAAAAGCAGATTAATGAGTGGAACCATTTCACGACTGAGATCGAGGGGTTGAAGATACATTTTATACATCAGAAGGCGGAGAAAAGGGATGCGGTGCCGTTGTTGTTGGTTCATGGGTGGCCAGGAACATGGTTTGAGTATGCCATTACTTCCTCTCTTCAATTACTGGTTATACTGCAGATTTTATCTCATGGTATTGTCTTTGAGGATACTTAAGATATCTGTCCTGTGGACTAACAAGAAGAGTGTAGGTTCCAGAACGTAATGCAACCCCTATTGAACCCTGAAAACGATACACAACCAGCTTTCGATCTCGTTGTCCCGTCGCTACCAGGGTATTGCTGGTCGCAAGGTCCACCGAGGGGTCATACCTTGCAGGATACTGCGAGGTTGTTTGATGAGTTGATGAAGAGACTTGATGTACGTTTTCCTCACTGTCTATGCCATCCAACCGCATTCCTACTATGAGTTCTTCCATTGACGAACACCACCTCCAACAGTACACGTCTTACGCCGCCCAAGCCGGAGACTGGGGTCACTGGGTCGTCCGCGAACTTGGCTCTGGTCGGCATCCCAACTGCAAAGCAGTGCACACGAACATGTGTCCTGGCGCACCTCCAGAAGGCACTAGCCTAACGGAGAAAGAAAAGAAGGGGATAGCAAGAGCGGAGTGGTTTCTAGGGAAGCCGCTAAATGAGACGCATATGGGGTATGCGATTGAGATGAGAACACGACCGCAGACTATTGGCGTGGCCTTCAACGGTACGCCACAGAGACCATGGTGGTTGAGTAATCGCAAGCTGACATAAGAAACACGACAGATAATCCCGTCGGAATCATGATGTTCTTTGGTGAGAAATACAACGAACTTGCTGATCCAAGTTTAGGCACAGCGACACTCGTTAACGAGCAGTGGCTACATGATCTTTGCACGACGCTTTCGTTGTATTTCTTCACGCCACCAAGTGTCATGACGAGTACGGTTATTTTCTTTTCAGCTTTCTTCCCCGCCACATGCGCCGTGCTAACAAGCATACCACAGGTATGTTATCTTATTACAACAATGTGCGTCACGAAATGTACACCAAATTCGACGCCAAAGAAGAAAACCTGATCCGCGTGCCTCTGGGCGTGAGCACGTTCCCCTACGATGCTTTTCCTGCGCCTAAAAGTGGTGTCGAGACTACATGTACGGATCTGAAGTTTTTCAGAGGTATGTCATGTGTGCGATCGGGATACCCAACGTGTTTCGTGTGGAATCGAATGGAATGGGACGAGATTGGATGAGGGATGATGGAAAGGTGGGATATGCTGACAGGCTTTACAGATCATGACCGTGGAGGACATTTTGCCTGCATGGAATGTCCGGAGGAGATGGTGAAGGATATGAGAGAATTTTTCGGAAAATGGTACAAGGTTTGAAATTTGAATGTAATGAACAGTATGATGTGGCGAGCAGTCTGGTTGTACCTTGCCAACGCCTTTTGCTGAACTTACAACATCCATAATCTCATTTATAAGTCGTAGGGGCAAAGTCAACACCCAATTCTTTAATCGTATCCAAACAATGACCCAGCAAGACCTTCGCATTCGTTCTCTTCTGCAATCCCTTGATCATCTGATGACTCCGAACCCACGCATCGTGATCTCTTGCTAACCAGCCTTGTGGTATACTGTCCTGAAAGTTCTCCTTGACGTGATACTGATCACTCGTGAAGATCCAGGTTCCGCTTTCCTTCAAATTCACCTGCATGATCGTTAGTCCGGGTGTGTGTCCAGGTGCATGGTGCAAGTTGATGCCAGGAGCAATCTCATAGTATGCGCCATGAAAGGGAACCCAGTTGATATCGAAAGTAAGGTAATGAGGGAGGTAAACACCAAGATCGGTCTTGGTAGCGACACTATAGAAGGCGTGTTTGAGTTCGAGCTCATGAACGTAAACGGGTATGTTTTTGCCTCTAAAATGGTCTAGGCCGCCAGAATGATCGAGGTGCAAGTGCCCTATGATGACCATCTTTACGTCTTCAATCTTGTGGCCGGTCAAGGCGATTTGTTCGTCAAGGTTCATAGACTTGTCGTAGTCGACTCGTGAGAAGACGTCTTGAACGTGTGTACCCGCGAGATTGGGGTAGTCTTCTCCACCGCCAGTTTCGTATAGGATGAGGCCTTCAGTCGGATGTTCGATAAGGATACCGAGCATGACAAGTCTACGGCGCTTGCTTACGGGATTGGGGTTAGATAGCGAGGAGGCGTTTGCTGCACGGATGAACCAGCCATCGTCACATTCGAGTATACCAAGATGGAGGATCTGATGACGGTTGTGTTAGGATGAGTGTAGTTGGTAAGGATGCCGCCAGGAGTCATACCCAAAGTTTAGTTCCCTGGATGTGGTCATCAGTTGTGTTCTCTATCCCAAGAAGCTTTAGTCGCATACCACAGGAGCCTGATTGATCAAATCTAAGGATGCCATCACGGGTAGCCCTTTGTCCAGATACGTCCAGCTGAGGCATTCACTCTAGATTTATGTGCTCTCGCGCCAATGTTTTCTACACAAGGTTCGCCGACTGCCAGTCGTGTGACGCTTGTCGCATGTTCCCCGCAGTTAGATATCGACAGATAGCCACACACTGACGACACGCTGAAAAGCGATGAGGGGTAGCTACTTGCACGCCCCACGATTCACAATTCTAGAGTGGGGCTTCTTTTGCGGCACCGGTTATCCGTTGGATAAATCTGGAAGTGCGGATGGACTTGGTTGGTCGAAGTTGAGAACGACATGTTCGTATTAGAGCCAGGCTACGATGACCGATGCAGACGAGGGATATCACAACGCGACCAACAGAACCGCCCACTGCTTACGTTAGTCGAAAAAAGGCGTCATCAGTCTGAGTCAGTCATCTAGATGGTGATGGCACAATTCAACCCAACATTAACATCAGTGGAGGCATGTGTGGTTGCATCGAGCCTAACAGTCGAGTGAGAAGGGCTTTATGGCGATATTCAGAGTGAAATTTCGGATGGTCTTTCTGCATGTCTTGACCGTCGGAACTCAGACCCAGCAGAGGTTTGCTGCAATGTATGAACACGAGCGAGATGTAGCCAGAAGTAGAACCCGCATATTGGCAGGTTTCGTATGAATTCTGTCATGGCTACGAGGCTCTCTGAGCCTCCGCGAAAAATGCTCATTGCTCCCAGGGCTCAGTACGACTGTGCAGTCCAACATAATACGCGTATACCTATTGACGTACTTTGTGCTTTCTCTTGTTTCGACCAGAAGACGTACTGTTGGCGTACAAGTATGCGCAGCATCTTGTGAGACTGGTACACTGGCCGAGCGTACTGGTGAGGGTTTGAGTGGCAGTATGCAAGGGAGGGAAACTAGAGAGCACCTTCCTCTTAAGGCGACCATAACGAGACAGCCCTTGGTGTGTTGGGCTTGAGTACAGATTTCGTGGACCTCAGCGTGGTAAGCACGAGAACGCTGTGATTGCCTGTGCCACCCGAGTAAAGGGCTTGTTGTCTATCCAGCTCTTGCTCTGTTTAAGTCTGCGTCGTATGACAACTGATACGATAGCAGCTCAGCTAGAATATGACGTTGGGATTTGTTAGTCGGCATCCGCGTTGAGGAGCCATGACCGGAAAGTTTATTGACGCGTGGAACAGCGATCGTCGCCGGGGGTTTGGCTTTTGTGGGGTGTCGCGACGCTTCAGCGGGGCATATTGAGCGTGATTGCAGGAACAGGGGTGTCTACGCATCATGTCCCCAGAAAGCGCGCAGAGTGCAAAACCCAAGAGGTGTGAGGGCGCGATGCGGTGAGGGACAAAGAAATATGGGATGTCGTGGTTGAGGAAAGTACGGGCCGGTCAAGTGAGCAGGCGTCACCCTTCTACCGGGCACGTTGAGCATCTGGGCAATCTCCGGCCGGCAACAAGTCTGGAGAAGGCATGCGACCCACGACCCGATTGATAGCGACGCCCCTTTTCCCCAGTCAAGTCAAGCCATGCCGGGATCTTTTTTGATCCCATAGTCGTCGCATAGGTCTTTGCTTTTCAATTGCACCATTTGTCCATAGCATTGACGTTGTTACTCTGTGCAAACATAGCCCGGCATACCTTCGTCGCTGCACTTTGGAAGTCAGAGTCGCAGGTTGCCGTCTCGCCCACACCCTTTCATTTCCCTTCATTTCGCTTTGCCAGCCGCTATTCTCTCCAGGGACCGACTCTATGACCAGGACCTGCCTGCGCCTCACATGATGAGAGATGAGGCTGGAAACTCCGCTGGTCACGCCGCGGTGGAGACGTCCGAGGCCTCGAATCAGTTGTCGCAGGTTCCCTCGAATGCACACAGCATCTCGTCGACCAAGGGCCCCGCATCACGATCGTGGCTCACCAATGTCCGCCGACCACGCACTTCACCCGGGCCTCGAGCTTTCTCCCTGAAGCGGACGCTACTGAACGAGGACGACGACCGCAGAGATTCGGCCTTAGCACCCTCCAACGGCACTACCACCAACGAACCGCCCTCACCTACTAGCCTGCGCAAGACGCCGAGTCTGCCTGCTATTGTAGTGCAGGATGAACGCTCCCCAGGTCCCAAGAGCCACGCGTCACAACGACGTTGCTCACTAGATGATGCCACACTCGAGCAAGAGGCCGAGTTCTCTGGCCTAGACACGTACATTCCTACAGGCAGCTTCGACGACTTCTCTTCGGACGCGCAGATATCTTTCTCCAAGCGAGGCAGCATGATGTTGGGTGGCAAGAAGGTAAACAGGCGAAGCAAACAAATGGATCTCCTTGTGGAAGCCGCGCCCGCACCAAGCACACCACCGCGACAAAAGGAGCAGGCGCAACCAAATGAATCACCCAAGCAGGACCCTTCACCCTCACCCACACCCGCGACGAAGCACCTTTCACCGCGATCCACCTCACGTTACTCGACCCGCGCACGATCAACGAACCACCGAGTACTATCAGCCGATGAGATGACACTGTCGCGCAAAGTTCGCTGCATGTACATGCATGGCAACGAGAGTGCTGTCAATTGGGATACACCCGAGGAGGAGACAAGCAGTGTTCAGAACAGCTACCTGGGGAGCAGCGCTGTTACCAACACCCCAGCTAATGGTTCGTCGGTGCTCGTGGAAGGCAACGAGGACACAAGTTCACTCATAAGCTCACGACACGGGAGTGTGATAGTCAAAGAACCTACAGAGGCAGCCGGTGGACTCGAGGACTGGGCGGATCTTGACGGTGGAGAGGTCGACCGATACGGTTTTATCATACCTAAAAAGACAAAGTCGAAATCCGATGCCGACGGCCCAGACGGACCCGACGTGCCCCGCATGCAGCGAGTCACCACAACACTACAATTGCTGTCTGAAGAGCCTAGACGACGGCGTCTAGGGCGCAGCGCATCGAGAGCTCGCTCTACTCGTTCTGTAGACCCACGCTCAGGCTCACCTAAGCGGCGGCTTTCTGGCAAATCTTCAAGACCCGCCAGATCGATTTTCTCAGGTCGCACTTCAGATACGCACAGCAGTCACAAGCCCCTGCGACACGCGACAAACAGGTTACCCCATAATCGAGACCGCAGGCTGAGGGACGAGGCGAGTGACATGCTCAAGCTACCGCCCGGTCTAGCCGAGGTTGCGGAACAGCAAGAAGGAGGAAGGGCTGCACAGGCGATGAGAGCAAAGGAAATCGAGCGCAACGAAAAATGGCGTAAGATGGCCAAGGTTGTCAAAGCGGGGGCAGATAAGGGGGGCATGCTGTTTGAATTTGATACCAAAGACCCTAAGGTCATCTCTCGCACATGGAAGGGCATACCTGATCGCTGGAGAGCGACTGCGTGGTACTCGTTCCTTGCTGCGAGTGCCAAAGCCGACGCAAATAGTCCAACAGAAGAGGAGCTCATCGAAAGCTTTTACGAACTCCAGCTGGAGAGCTCTGCAGAGGACGTGCAGATTGATGTTGATGTACCTCGTACTATCAACAGGCATATCATGTTCCGGCGGCGGTACCGTGGAGGCCAGCGACTTCTATTCCGCGTACTGCATGCGATGTCACTGTACTTGCCTGAAACTGGCTATGTCCAAGGCATGGCTGCACTAACCGCAACACTTCTTTGCTATTACGAAGAGGACCGAGCTTTCGTCATGCTAGTGCGGTTGTGGCAGCTTCGAGGCATGGAAAGACTCTATGAAGCTGGTTTTGAAGGACTCATGGAGGCTCTAGATGACTTTGAGCTGAACTGGCTGTGCGGAGGTGATGTCGCAAAGAAGCTAGTAAGTCACTACTACTGGAGAGGCTGACGACTTGGTATATGTGCTAATCAAACTCTTTTGTAGATTGATCTTGGCATTAGCTCGACCGCGTACGGTACCCGGTGGTACCTGACGCTGTTCAACTATTCATTACCTTTCCCCGCTCAGCTGCGCGTCTGGGACGTGTTCATGCTACTGGGCGACAAGTCTCATTCCAACTCGCCGACGTCCAAGTTCAGTGGAGACATGGATGTGTTACATGCTACATCGGCTGCGCTTATTGATGCCACAAGGGAGATCTTGCTAGACTCAGACTTCGAGAACGCGATGAAGGTGTTGACCTCTTGGATCCCTATTAAAGACGAAGAGCTGTTAATGCGCGTGGCGAAGGCTGAATACAAGATGCGGAAGAAGCGAGCCAATGCTTAAGGTAGGCTGGCGCTCCGGAATCCTGGAACTTGACACCGACCTGGCGGAAGCGTGCGATCTTGCAAGCGGGCGCGTTGCAGGTTGGAGTTCGGTACACCACCAAACACGGCATCACATCCAACCGAACATCTCTTCTTCCATACCTTTTCCAGCAGCCAACGGTCGATCATTCCCAGATGGGTGGCTTGCAATGATGTTCCATCGGTCGCATGGCTATAACGTGGCTGGCACGTTTCCCAAGATTTGCGGCATCATGAATTTTATTTTGTTTTTCCAGGCCATACCACCTACGCTTTCCAGGTTTTACCCGCGACGCATCACTTCCTATTTACCCTTTAGGCGTCTTTTAGTGGTGCAACGTGGATGACACCACCATCATCATAGTATGAGGAATGCCTGACTCGCCCACGTTTGGGCCACGTTTCTGCCAGGCATGCTTCGGGAGAGCATCCTTTGACCTGATGGTTGGGTTGTGTGCCGTGGTGGCACCTTTTCTTTTGTCACTTCTGAAGATAGCCTCAAACGTCGGCGCATACATGGAATGCCTCTTCATCAAGATACCTCTTGCTTCCTTTTTCTAGTCTGCATTTTCACCGGTCGAACGATACAGGGAATATCGTTCATCACATATATCCAGCATAATTCTGACTAAATGTAGTAATATAATAGTTAATCTCCCACAAGCATGGAAATTATCAGACTAGTGACCAAATCGAAGAACATGTTCTCGAACATCAGAAGCTTCTGGAAGAGTAAGAGATTTGCAAACAATAATAACGCTTTCGTGCAAGATCAGCATGGCATCACTCATTTGTGACCAAGTATAAGTGATCATCGCTTCTTTGGCGGGTGACAGACAGCCGGCGGACGGACTGCGGCGACGGGTAACAGGGAGTATTGCTGGGTCGGTCGGGTTGTGGCTCCGCGTACGGCAAGGGAGAAAAACCAGGAAGGTGGACGGACGATCTTCCAAAGACGCGGGAACCTCTACAATAACAACCTCAGCAAGATTCAAAACTCGCAGGTGTAGCGGAGCACGTGATGAGTCTTTTCATATGGAAACCTAATAATTTTGGTAGACATCCCTCTTTCTAAATCGATTACAAAAGGCCGAAGCCACACGGGTAGAGGAAAAGTGAGGCAGAGGTGCTGCATTCGGGCAATAACTCCGACCGACGCACAGCCTAGTGGGTGGAAGAATACACGATCAACACTCGTGCTGGGCGAGAATGTATTGCCCAAGAACGAGTGTGTGTATGCTGTGCCGGTAAAAATAGCCATGTGCACCGGGTAGAGTTGCGATGGCTCCCGATGAGGAAATCACAGATGCCGATTTGGGTGGCGAACCATCGCTACCTCCTGCCTCGACTAGTATATTCGCCTTCCCACTACGCGTACACTTTGCCTCCCTCAACTACCGTCTTGTCACAAGTGGGCAACTGCCTCGACTATCTGCTTCCGTCCTGAGTTACAGTCGGCTACTCCGAACGCGAGGACAGCGTGTCGCGTCTTCGCTTTGCAGGTGCAAGAGCCGGTTTGATCAACGACGCTGATCTGTGGTCTGATTTTCTAAATGTGAAGCGAAGATCAGCAACATGTTCGCTCGATCTAGAAATCGACCTTGTGTAGGTTGACACACCCTTCCCGCGACTACGCCACTTACTCCAGTCAACTTAGGAAAGACAAGCGATGGCAAGGTGCAAGTTTTGTCGGAGGTTTACACCATGAAAGACTAGCCGGTGGGTAGTCATTCACATCTTGGTACACTAATCGGCTGACTAGCGACGGGTCCAATAGCCTACACAACGGAGACGACAGATCGTCCACGGTATTGCAGCTTACGTGCGTCTTGTGCAGTTTTCAGCGACTACCCGCCTGGCTCTGTCTTGTTGGTCGCAAGGCATCGCGATCATAGGGACTACTACACCGGCTCCTCTTGTCCACTGACTACTGCTGCAGGAGTGCGTTAGCAGCAGCTTCGCGGCTAGCCCTCACTCCGACTCTCCGATAATGGCATCAGGCCACGATCCAGCAGAGCTAATGCTTGAACTTGAGTTGAACTGCATATGCTGCTTCTGCTTTTATTCGTCCCTACTGCAAGCCCCATCATTTCCACGATCGGAGACGCTTGGCTCTTCTTGCACAGCAGGAACAACATGCTTTTCCAGTGCATCGTTAGTTTAAGCCGCCATGCTAAGTTCCAACGTTTGTCGGCCATCCCCAAGAATGTGCATGTTCTTTTGGAGAGTCAACACATGCCTCAACGTTAACTCCACCGACGTGGTTTAGCTGGAATCCCGGTATGTGGAGAGGAGGCTATACAACATGGGTACCAAAAGCCATCCCTACACCCGGACCGTTGCCGGACCCTTTCCGCGTGTTGTTTGATGCACACATTGTCATCGGTTTCGCATACGCACCTTTACGACGTACTGTCCAGAAGAAGCAGAACCGTTATCACAACATGATTACTGAACCCATTCCTACTCCTACATTACCAGTTCGGCAGTTTCAAGTCGAGAAATTGTCGAATTTGTCAAGACAACAGAGCTTCTTCTCCACAACCGTATCTCGTGCCCGAGAAGGACGACGTGTTGTCAACAGCAATTTCGCCATGGTATCCCCATTTCGACTGCTGTTATGATGCTAAGCAGCTCAAAATGAATTTGATTGGGCCTAAGGACTAGCCAGCCGGGGCCGGAAATCATACTCAAAGATCCTTCGTACAGATCCGGTGCGCCGCGAGTTTCACGTAGATCCGCTGCATGAGCAGGATAGGTATAGCTTACGCGCCGACGCGGAAATTTACGTTTCTAGTCGATCGTTCGAGCCAGCGCCAGGCGCTCGGGCATTGCGCAACGCCGCGTCTGTTAACCCGTCCCTTCCCAAGGATGGCTTGCGAGCTGTCATCTGCGTTGACATTACGGGCTATGGTGGGAACGCACCGTCAGTGCTGGCGTGTCGCTAATTGCACAAGCATACACACGGAGAGCAGCGCGCACGCGAGGATCAACACATTGGCTGCCTCTACGCGTATCTCCAGCACCCTCGGAGTGACACTCTCCCGGGTCTTCAAGGTTGCGTCGGCTCGATGATCGTTCCTCTTATCGATTGAGCATGCTGTCTGTCACGCTATGTAGATCCGGAGGGGTCCCCCAAGGCTGACAGGTTGAAGACGGTCCCTTGCTCCGTGCCACCATTGTGCTTTTCATCAAAGCACCCTCAGCCGTTGACGCTATGACGGCATGTGTATACTTGTTCGAGCATTACACTAAACTCGGAACAGGTTCTGCAACAGGGCCACAGGTTACATTTCCACCAATTCCAAGGTTTCGTCATGAAGCACGGCGGCTCTTAGAACACGAAAATCTCATTTCACGTTTCCACTTCGGGATATTACATGGCTGAGGTCTGACGATGGTGACGACCCTTCATTTCCTATCATGCGACCTGGACGAGCTAGGTTGAGCCAGTTCACAATCCGGGCAGCGGTAATCTTGCGCTCGCTTCCTCCCGGACGTTTGACCCTGCTGGCTGGTGTTAGCGCACGGCTCAGAATCCCAGGCCACGCCGTCCAGTCCACATGCCTTGAGCCTCGCGTTCAGCCACAGGCACAGATACCATGAACCCAGCAGCGATGGTGGTCCAGAGCAGAGCTGCACAACTAATTACCGAATGCGTGCCTGATGCCATTTTGCCTAGTCGAGGCATTGTAATCCAATTTGCGGTCATCAGCTGCGGCCTTACGACAGCAACATGCGAGCGGTCCAGTACGACCAGAATGATGCCGAAGTCTTCGGGCTCATTTGTTGTCATTGTACAGCACAAGCCGGTAGCACTTGGTGCGTCTGAGCTTCACTTTGTCTGCTCTACAGCATACGGGGGCCATGGGTTGATCGAGGCCAATGTGGAAGTATCCGCGACGCCAACTCTTTATGTCTAGCTTCAGGCCAATGTATTATCAAACTACCGTCGCTGCTTTCAAGCTGAACTTGCTTGGCTGGCAAACGGGACGTAAGTAGTTTTGCGGCAAATGCCAGCGCCACAAGTGGGAACCGCTACCAGAGTTTGCATCAGCCGGAGTCCTTCTCCAGGCGCGTCACATGGTGGGACTACAAGAACGCGCACTACCATTTCTAACAACATTGCACTTGCTGACAACCATCCCGTTTCATGCATATCCCTGCAAAGGTCCCCTCCCACCTTCGCCTGTCGAACGCCACATATCGCCCGTCATTGACGTACGGCCTGCCGTTTGCTCGTGCTACTCTCAAGCCTTTGCGGCCGTCACCCCCGTCGGTTGGTCCAATCCCAGTCGGCCCTCTTCCCTTCTCGTACACCATTCCCCACCGTTGCCCATTTTCACTTGCCTCTCTCCAATCTGGACTTGATCGACCACGCCGGCCCACGCGAGCTTCTACGGGGTTTGATCTTCGTTGCATGCAGCCTCGCCTGTTACTCTTCCTGTGTTCTTTGTCGCCCTGCTTTGGCCGCGAATCAAATCGGGGCTACTTTGCCAGGGACATATTAAGCCTAGGCCCTAAGGCAACGGCTACGATCCCATCCCGGGCCATTTGTGGATGGTGGTCCCGATAAAACGTACTCTGGTGAATAAGTATGTACACTGTTCCTTCTCCTTCCGGACCTACGAGTTTTGGCGCCACCCAACCCAACGACTCATTTCAATGTTGAATTGCTCCTACCACATCTACCACACCGGCTCCACCTTCCTCCATGTTGCTCACACTCTCTAACCCGGTCAAGTCCGATTTCGAATTCAAACCCCATGCCTACTCACCAGCCTTCTCTTCTTCTTCCACGGCTGCTCGATACTCAAATAGGCATCATCGTGGGCTATCCCCACCTGCACAGGAAGTCAACTCCTCTCACAACATGGGCACACCTCACCGAGGACTTCCTCCTCCTTCGGCGATGACGCTACCAGATCCGGCTCGAGGACCTCCATCGATGTCGTCGTCATTAGGCCAGTTACCTCCAGCACCTTCGCAATGGCAAGGTGCAGAAGATGGAATGAAGAACTGGCTAGCGGCGAAGGCCGAAGAAGAAAGACGCAAGCAAGAGGAGGAAAAGACACGACAAGAAACGTTGCGACTGGAGCAACGCAAGGTCGAACAGTCTATGCTTCGAGAATCTATGCAGGGAGGAGTACCGCCTCACCTAGTACCAATAATCTTTGCTGGCATCGGAGGAGGCAACCTTGCAAACATCAGTGCTGAGTGGATACAACAGTATACTACTCAAGTTCAAGCTGCTCACCAACAAGCGCAGGCTCAGGCACAGGCACAACTTTCTCCAGATCTTCGAAGGGACCCACGATTAATTGGACAGCAACAACCAGCAGTCTATGCTGGTCAGGCGCAACCTCCAACAACGATATTGCCTCCGACGTCAGTCCTACCCGGTCAGCCTCTACCGACACAAATACAGCATGCTCCACTCTCTACCAGTGCTTACACTGGTGGACAAACATCACCGCGCTCAAGAGCCGCACAAGCTGGTCTTGGTGGTCCTGCCGCAACAGCCCAACGCTCATTACCTCAGTCACAATTGCCCAGGTTGACTACCAACGAGATGACTGTTCAGCAACCTCCTGCGGCCCCAGCAGGTGTGCAGCAACTGCAGCAGACACAAACACAACAACAAGAGCAATCCTCCCCTTCGATATATTTTCATCATTGGGTACCACCATCATCGTCTTCGGAACAAAAGAGTGCAAGTGGAAATCCGCCAGCTACGCCATCAGGTAAATACAAAACTTCGCCTGTTCACCAGTCACGGCAACGTGCTGCGTCGCACGCGTCTGACCTAGAATACACCAGCTCCCCAAAGAAGCGCAAGGCTCAAGGCCCTCACCCCCCTCCACCGCCGCCTACATCGGCGCCTGGATCCTACACATCGCCGTCCTTCTCGCACATATCGTCGTCGTCAACATCGACACCTGGACGAAGAGGTCATGCACGAAACCGATCAGATGCATCCACACGAGCGGCGGAGGGCTCCAGTGGTTCACTGAGCCGGCGAGGCACCGTTTCTGGCCTTGCGCATGAGACAATTCTGCGACAAGGCGATATTGCAGAAGAAGCAAGAGATACAGATGACAAGGCAAAATCCAAATCTGATCAGACATATGGAACATCACCTCAACGAGATGGTACCCGAGGCCACGGTCAACAGAGCTACGCGCCAACATCAACATCTGCTCAACCTGAAACACCAAAATACGCAACACATCAGCAATGGGATCGAGGATATACGTCATCTCCCAAAAGAGAATCTGGGGACCATTAGATTGGGACGTCGTTTCAGCATCGCAACCGTACGAATTCGGATTGGTTGCTATTGTGATCGCTATCGGTCCTTCGATAAGCTCGCTTCCAATTGCAATTCATCCGAGCGAACGCGAACGCGAGGAAGGAAGAAGTTGGCATGGCAATCGGGCATCAAGAACCTGCTTGCTGACAGAAGGTCAAAAAAGGTGCGATTCTTTACAACAGGTCCGCAAGCGAAATGAGACAAAGAACATCGAGACTTCCAGACCTCCAAATTCCGGCCTTTCCACTTCATCTCAAAATCTTAGTGCACGGACCCGCAACCCCACCCAAAGAACGTCTTCCCTCATCTCATGAAATTACATCGCAATGTCGCGTTTCCACAGCTGCACATACACACATACGCATTTCGACCCAGTGTTTATTTGCTGGTAGTAGGATCTAGATTGCTCCCAAGACGACATCAGATTTGCTGCTAGTATTGCGGACACGGAGTTTATTTCCGGATCCTGCCGTCTACCCCTTTGAGAAAGGCCCCGATCTACTTTCCAGCCTGCACATCTGGGCCTTTTCCTTTTTGCAATCGAACATGCTGGTTATATCTGGCGTTTTATCGCGGCGCATCGACACCCAGTCGAGTCTTAGTATGACTTCAACATTTTTCTTGTTGGCATACCGCAGCTAGGTTGTGCTATCAGACGGCGGCTGTTCTGGATATTCCGCCTCCCCGCCTGCCGGCTACATCATCTTCCATGCAGCTTGGTGCCTTTGTCAGCGGCAGTATTGCCGTATCCCGGTTGCTGTTCTGCGCTTGCGAACCCCGCACGTTGCGAAGAATGCGATACTTGTATACATTGGATACATCTCGCAACGGCTGCAGCGTCGGCACTATTCCCGTTGTCGCTGCTCGTTCGCCTTGTCGCGTGGCTCACTTTACGGTTTCGGTTGTTATTGTTGTTGTTGTTGTTATACTTGACCAGTTGCATCAAGTTCTTTTCTTGGCTACGGCCCATAACGATGCTCGTTAAGCGCCGACTTGACTTGCATAACTCGATTTGAACGGCTGGATCCGAACACTTCATCCTTTCCTGTACTATACCCGGTGTTCTTTTCGATATGGGCTTCGGTGTAAGCTTCCTGTTGCAAACAACTTTAGACTTGTTCTTCCTAGTCGGGCACTGGGGGCCCGTGTTACGTCCGGCATTCTGGCCGAACTTTTCTTGTCAAGTACACTATCGAATCGGTTACCGTTCATGGTATCAGGCATATCAGGTACCTTCCGACACCGCATCAATACCGCATCGCAGGACGAGGACACATCCCTGAGACGTTCTCAATGGCAGCATATCTGTTCGCAGACATCAAGGTTCACTCTCCTTTGTTCAGTACTATGACCACGAAGCGCCACATCGGGCTTCTCTGTTGGCTATCAGATTGTGCACATATACCCCTGTTCCCCATTTTTAGGTGGGCACTCTTTCGGCATCTCACTCGGCTTTACATTCGGTATCCCCTGGCTCGCCTGATGGTAGTCAGTTTAGTTTTCTCTTCTTAGACATGTACATACTTTTGAAGTGGCGACTTTGCATTATGGAGAATCTCCGGTTCGGGCAAGGATGAAGGAGGTTAGATGGCAGGGATTAGATGCAAGCAAGTAGGTAGTGTTCGCGGCAACGCCGTTGCATGGCCGTTGTGTATACCAAAGATCGGCATGAGATATTTTTGTCGGATAGTCACAACCCCGTGTTTAGTGCCCTTGGCAGTTGATCACTTACGTCTTTCCCTATCCAGTAATAACCTGACTCTAGCAGATATTACCCATCCGAATGACATGTCACATACATCAGTCTTATTTTCTTTTCCTGCATCTTGTATCTCTGGATTAGCTGTGCATCATGCAAGGGGCGGTGAGATGAGGCCTTGCGGCGGTGGGTGTTTCACCTTGGACTTGCAGTAGTGGTGTGATTACGCTGATTGGGAAGTCAGAGCATCTTGGTCCTTCGGATGATCTGCTCGGGATGTGGAGGTATTTAGCCAGTCAGGTTTATGCACCGGGATATCGTAGAGGACTGTGTACTGTTTTCTTCTTCTGTTTTTCGGAGCCGAACGAGGATGCTTGGAGTGAGAAAGGGGTTTCATGCGGACTTGGGCGTCTTGAACAAGAGCGGTGTGGATGCTTGACTACTACTGCTAGTCAAACGGTCTGGGTGTATGACTTGAGTTGAGAGTCGTGAGGAGAAGAGCTGAACGTGAACTACTCCTCTCCACTGTGTTGCGTCAGCAGCCAAACACTGGTCTTGGTATTTTGAAGAAGACTAAAAGCCATCGCATGCTCTATAGGAAGTTATACATTGCTGAGCAACACATAAGCGTTAGGATGCTTTTTTCTTCTCAAAGCTTAAGTAATGTCAGTGTAGACATATCTCACTCGAGATTGAGCCACCTCCGTAAAGGGTTAGCTTGCACCAGCCACAGCAAGCTGCCCCGCCTCGTGGCGCTTGCGTGGACCCCACCATGATGGTCCGTGGTTCACCGTCACTGCAGCCTGACGGTATCGCCCAAGGGAATCCACAACCACTTTGCTGCCTACAAACGTTTGCGCCATCACCTGGTCGTAGAAATACCCACGCCTACTTACCCAGCTCACGAGCTCACCCTCACGCTTTCACACCCTCGACTTCCTTTTACGGAGCTCGCTACCGCTACACTCGCGACACCTTCGAGACACTCGCCGGCGCACAAACAATAGAAGAGCCGACAAGATGCAGATCAAGTACGTCGGACTCCTGACGGATGTCATATGGAAGCAAGAAAAAAAGATGCAGAGTTGCTGACAGGCGACAGAGTGCGAACCCTCACTGGCAAGGAGATCGAGCTTGATATCGAGGCCGACTACAAGGTACACCTACCCAACTTTTGTCACCGTATACACACATGGCATCGCTGATCTGCCAACCGGAAACACGGAGAGCGATGTGCGGTAAATTCGAGGAGCGTAACGCTGACGGTACACAGGTCTCGAGGATAAAGGAGCGCGTTGAGGAGAAGGAAGGAATTCCGCCCGCGCAACAACGTCTCATCTACGGAGGAAAGCAAATGTATATCTAAAAGTCCCTAGACATAGTCGAGACAAGGCTAACATAATTATTTTCAGGAACGACGAGAAGACTGCAGCAGACTACCAACTCGAGGGCGGCGCCACACTGCATCTAGTTCTTGCTCTTCGTGGTGGAAACTAGTTTCTCTCATCCTTGAACCTACTCCAATCCTGCTCGCACCTACCGGTCCATACCCCGTTACACACCCTGGGACACGCGTCGACTGACTACGTTATCGCGCGTCTCTGATGATCAGCTCACGATAACGCATCCGTCATCTGGAGGACTCGCACAAATCAGAAGAATGAGCAAGGTGAACGGAGATGTGGTGTAAAGATGACGGACTCTGCAGGGTGCTTGATGGACATTGGAGGCAGGAAGTGGGCATCGAGATGAGCTAGGACAATTGAAGAAATGCACTTGCTAGTAACTCGGATTTTCTTTCTTCTAGATCTATGTGCTGCGAGATATTATCCGTGAAGTTTCTAGTCACGTTACCTTACGGAAGGCAACAGGTCAGCGTACAGCATAAATCTCTACGATGCCATGCTTTTGGCCATTCGCTAAGAGATCCACCACGAGCAGTGCGTATGCTTCAAAGCCGATGTCTTATTACGGAGAATATCTAGTAAGTTTATCAGGATGTTCGGACAATTGGCAGTAATTACTCAGGAATGAGTAATCACATATACTCATGTCACACTTTATACAAAGTAACTGATGAGTAATGCGGTAATTCTTCGCAAGACCGACCTATTCCAGAGAGTCTCCAGTACTTTAGTAGCCTAAGCTTGTCCTATCTGGGACGGCTTTGCAAATAACTACTCATGAGCAGTATGATTACAATACGTTTTTCACAAAACACTACTAGGAAGAGATGATGAATTACTCATGTTCGTCCATCGTTGCTACGAACTGTTGACAAGCGCCCCTCTAGTCGTGCTTCCTCGTTTCTGAAATCCACCGGAAGGCGAGATTCCGTCTTACTTACCCCACTAGACCGACTGTGCCTAGACGCAAAGCAGCACTACTAGTCACAACTGGTAAAGTCGTTAACTTGATATTGAGAATACGCCCGTAGTTTAGAAAGCTTAAATTCCCGGCGTGTGCTCAGTCCAGAGTCACCCAGATCAGCACCTCTGGCAACATTTCGAGGTCACCTCAGAAGAAGGAAGAACAAGAAGAACAACATGGCACCCCTTGACGACACGACGGAAGCCAACCGATTCGAGAGTTTCGACGTATTCCGGACTTCATATAAGAAGATTGGCGAACATGAAATCGAAGTTGGTATCATCGTGCCGAAAGACCTGAAGCCCGGAAAGTCTCCAGTTATGGTCAAGTTCCACGGCGGTGGACTGGTAGGTTAATTCTGAAGCCGTCTCACTATCATCGCAAGAACTCACGAGCTAGACACTGATGACGAATTTCAGATTACAGGAGACTGTCTCTTTCCCGACTGGTTCAGCGCATATTTCGTCCCCTTCATCCACCGCAACAACGCAATCGTGGTAGCTCCCAACTATCGCTTTATTCCTGAACACAGTGGCGCAGACATCCTTGAAGATCTAAGTGACTTCTGGGCCTGGTTCAACAAAGGTTCAGTCAACGACTTCCTTGCCTCTCACAGGAAAGGAGGCGGTATCAAGCTAGACTACGAGAAAACCCTGGTCTCAGGCGAGTCGGCGGGTGGTTACATGGCCTTGATGTCAGGTCTTACTCAGCCTCGCGGCAGCATCAAAGCTATCCTGGCAGAATTCCCCATGACGAACTATCTGCGTATCGAGAAAAGTGACATGTATTTCGACGCACCTTCGCCTCCAGAATCCGAGCTGACTGAGCATATTTCCACCATCAAGCCAGGTGTTGTCATTTCTTCAGGATGGCCACCAGCGAGATTGTCATTGAACTACCTTCTAGCGGCATACGGACACTACCTCACTTATTTTGGAAAAGATGAGAAGATGTGGCCGATCGGGCTTATTGAGGATAAGAAATGGTTGCCGCCGACGTGGATTGTCCATGGCGATGTAGACTCAGCGGTTAGTGTAGAGGATAGTAAGAAGTTTGTGGAGAAGTGCAAAGCGCTAGGAGATGATATTGAGGTCCAGTTGGAGATTAGGCCAGAACAAGAACATGGCTTCACTATCTCAATCAAGGAGGACGAGGAGCCGTGGCTCAAGGAAGGGTTGGCATGGGTAGAGGGGAAATGGCTGCGCTTATGAGGCACGGAGTAGACGTAGGCTTAAATAAGGAATCGATCAGCCAAACACACTCTGAGAGTACTATAGATTAAATCTGAGCACCTTATCGCATCATAGTCCTGCTTGCTGAGGTTTCGTGCGCGATGCATCATTTTCGGTTTAGCGCACGGCTTTTCCGGCTGTTAATCTGTTCTTATCCGAGCTCTGGACTTTTGACTCCACTTTGCGAACATGAACATCGTCAAGGGATGAAAGACTGCACAGATCTGATCATGAACGGAAGAAATTCTTCTCAAGGAGCCTCTGCCGATGCCGAGCCGAAGCATGTGTCGACTGCTCGATGGACACCCGCCAATGGTATTGAAGCGGTCACAACCGCCACGTCCGCAAGCGCAAGCCCAGATGAGCAAAAATCACCACCTGCCAAGAGAAGGAGAGAAGAGCGGGAGAGGAGCAGAGTCAGTAGGGCTTGCGACCGATGTAAGAAGTGAGCTTGTTGAAATTCGGCGTGCACATGCTGTGCTGCATGTATTCAAGGACTCGCTAACATCAGAACTAGGAAAAAAGTAAGATGTACTGGAAGATGTCCTTGTGCGCTCTGTCTGAGATCAGGGCTGCCGTGTGAGTTTACTGCATCGTATACGCGAGGTCGACTTCCCTCTGTTATTGTCGACGATTCCGCGGTAGCTACGGATCCCTTACTCCAAAGACGAAAAGAAAGCTTAACATCAGAACCACCCGTGAAAGATACGTACGCAGCATCGGCAATGAAATACCCACGTATATACCCAAGCCCATCAACTCCGATCGATCCACCGTCTTACTCAAATTCCGACAATCCAAATCCAAATCCAAATCCAGATACTCTCAACATGGCTACCAATGCCAGCAGTCGCCCTTCCTCGCGAGACTCTCCTGTGCCGCAAGGAGCTCAAAGAGACCAAGAAGGTCACTACGTTGGATCCTCAAGCGCAGCTTCCTTCCTTATTCGTATTCAGAAGCGTTTGCATCAGAATTCTTCCCTCTCACATGACTCTACTATCTTCACTTTCGGAGACGCTCCGCTCCCAGAGTTTGATCTTTCCATATTCGTTCCACCACCGAAGCCTGATGCGCAGAGGCTCGTAGAACGATATTTCGAATACGCGGCACCCACTCATCGCTTCCTACATCGACCGACGATCGAACAGCTTGTAGAGGAGTTTTATGAGACCCAAGGTGAGATGAGGAGTAAAGAAGACGGCAAAGCGAAGGCAGCGTTGTTGATGGTGGTATTCGCGCAAGCACAGGCATATATGCCGCCTGGCAGTTCAGTGCAAACTAGCAGGTTTGTTGATCCCTGCGTTGTCAGGACACCGACTAACATCTGCCAGTGCTCGATTTTTCCGCGCGGCTGAAAATCTGCTCTCTGGAGAACGTGGCGCTGTAAGACTAGCGAGTGTCCAGGCACGATTGTTACAGTGCTTCTACCTTCTGACACAGTCCCGCATCAACCACTGTTGGAGCCTCTTTGGCACGCTGTCACATCTCGCCCTTGCCATAGGGTTGAATCGTGGTAGAAAATGCGATCCCTCAACTAAGGTGGACTATGTGGAAATTGAGAGTCGAAGACGCTTGTTCTGGGTTGCATACTCACTTGATAAGTACCTTGCTGCTGCTCTTGGTCGGCCACGAACCTTCAAAGACGAGGATATCGATCAGGTACGTTGATGTTGGTACTATGAGAACAGGTTTCAGTAGCTAACTTGGAGTTTTTAGGAGCTTCCAACGATTGTCAATGACAATGACCTCCACCCGAATTATATCAATCTTCCAACGCGATCTACTTATTCGTTGATGACAGCCCCAGTTGAGCACATTAAACTTACACGCATCGTCTCTCTAGTGCTACGAGACCTGTATTCGATTCGTCCACCCAGCCTGGCCTTGCGCGTTGAGCTATCGGCGAAGTACACTTCGGAGTTGCACGCGTGGCACAACTCGCTGGCCGGATTCCTCTCTGGCTCCGCCTCAAATGCACATATCGACAACCAGCTGCTCATACCAGTCTACCAACGTCAGCGTTCCGTTCTCAACCTGGCGTACCACCATGCGCTTTTACTTATTCACCGACCTTTCTTACTGAGGGATTTCGCGAGTTTGACGCATATGCCAACCCATCCAAACTGGAGTGCCACAAACTACGACGCATCGGCCAACATCACTGCCTGTCTCGAAGCTGCCATGTCCCTTGTACGTTTCGTAGACGATGTATTTATGTCGTCCAATCTCTTCCGCTCTTTCTGGTTTACCCAGTACTATGCATTCTGTGCAGTGGTAGTGCTATACATTCATCGCATTCAACAGGGCTTGGGTGTGAAGACTAAAGTAGAGTGCGAAGGTTTTTTTGAGGCAGGGGTAAAGTGTCAAAGACAATTGGAGACAGTCAGCGACACTGACTGCCTTGCACACCGTTACTGTGTTGTCCTGGAAGAACTTAGGACTGAGGCGGTACGGCAATCAGGGAGGCTATCGACGCCTGCAGCATCGGTTGATGTGAGTTCATAATTTCTGTTGGCAAGTACAAGCTCTCTGTATCCACATGCTGACCTCACATCGTAGACGCCTACGCGCGACAACCCCAGCTTCCACGATAACCCGATTCTTCCACTACCCTTGTCGGCACCAACTCCAGATGCTGTACCACCGTCGTCAAATCTGTCAAACCTGCTCTACAACACTACTGGCAATAACAATATCCCACCGACACCAAACAGTGCAGAAGCATTTGGTACGACTAACCCAACCTTCACATTTGATCTACTCGATTGGACGGATTTTGCTAGTTGGGGACAATTCGAGGGCCTTGTGACAGCCGGTAATGGCTCGTTTGACCCTGCAGGTGTATCACAGAACGAGAACGACTTTTGGTTTGGCTCGTGAGGAAATGTTGCGCGAGCGTAAGACAGAGAATTGTATCATATAATCTGTACACACAAGTAGGGCCTGCTCTGAAGAACACATCTTAGTTGAGCTGAAGAGTCTCAAGCAGGAAACCTGGCGGGTACCCTTAGAGTAGGTTTTAATGTATAGGGATATACACTAAAATTTCAAGTCTAAGTGTATTGACTTCATCGCAAACTAAACGTCGGAACGCCGGTAGGGGTATCTCGAAAAGAAAAGAGTCTCAAATCGTTCCATCATTCTCCATTTATCATAATCATCTCTTGTCGTTTAACGCTCACATTCTCAACAACCTCCGCCATCTTGGCCTAGAAGGCTGCTCTGGCTGCTGCACTGCCGCCTCTGCTGCTACTGCAGCATCAGCCCCATGCTGCTCTACCGTCTGTGGAGTGCGGTTCTGTAGCTCCACTGCAGGCTGAGTTTGTGCCTGTGCCTGTGTCTCTTGGTGTCTCCTTATGCCACTTCCATGCAGGAAGTAACGCCAGTTGCTTACTGGCACTGCCTGGGAATGGTCCGCAGTTCCGGCTTCCAACACCGCGGGCGTCACATCTCCACCTAAAGCTATCCTTTCTTCCTCATCATGCTGCTCCATGGCTTCCTTGCTCATATACGTGGATCGGCATATCGGACAGCTTGTTTTGCGCAAAACGAACCAAGAGACTAAACAATCTGCATGGAATTCGTGACCGCAGACGGAGAGCTTGAGGATGGTTTCATTTCCGGGTGTATTGGTGGTTGTGGCTGATGGGTCAAGGGAGTCGGATTGTGGAAGGGAGGCGGGCAGAGCGGCATCATCGGTTATTGGGGTCTCTGGGAAAAGTTTGGCGGGTTCGGGTGGGGCGGGAGCGTGAAGAGTGGAAAGACATATTGCGCTGCGCAGGACTGTTAGAATGTAATTTTTCGTAAGTATTGCTGTGTTTCGAAACTCACCATTCTCGTTCTAAAACCGAGCGCGACTCTACCACTTCCAATCTCCCCTCGTCGTTCTCTGCGCCATCATGGCTTTGTCGAGATGTGGTTCCGGAAAGGCTCACTACTTCGGTGACTTCGGTCAATTTCTCTCTTGCTTCCGCACGTCTAAGTGCCGGCTTCTTCGTCTTAGGTGGTGGGCGCGCTGGAACAGGGACGGCTTGCCGTCTTTTCCGGATACAGAATATACACAAACTACATCATCGAATATCATCAGCCTAATGTCATTTCCCAGCTTTCCAGGCAGAAACACCCCTTACATGCCATTTCCCTTTCGGCTCAACATACTGCGGAATAGACGGAACACGACTTACAACGGCGCCACAATAGCGACAACGAAGACGGGAATCAGAAAACTAAAAGCCGTCGGTGTCATGCCAGACTGACCAACTGTATCCCTCCATTCTCGCGCTTCAAGCGTGCGCACGAATCCGTGACTAGATACCGCAGGCATCGCGCTTTCTCGATCTCTTCGTAACTTGAAGATTCGGACGTGGTTCGGTTGATGTGTGGGGGATTGGGGAATGCGACGTGGCTCGACCTCGACCTGTTGCGGGGAACAGCGTGCGATGACGGCGAAGGAAGCGGGTATACCGGCACCAAACGATTGCGCGTCCCAGGGATCCTACACACTGCGATGGCTAATTCTTCCGTCGTATGTCGTATACTCGTACAATCTGTCTAGTATTCGTTTGGACAGAAGTATTTCCGGCGGCTGAAGAGTTGTTGTCCAAGTTGCGTAGTGCTCACTCTTAACATTCATTACCTAGCTAGTTCTTACCCCGGATCCCACTCATCCGGGCGTTCCATGACACCAACATGTTCGCAAGCTCAGCCTCCACAGCCACGTCTTTTCGCCACTTCTTGATGGCGCTTGAGAGAGCTTGGCATTGGCCTGGGTTTGCTGCCCATACGTAACATGGACATGGACGGCTAAAACACGCCGGAGCTGCATTCATCGTCGCTGTTGCGGACCAATATTTCTACAAACTCGAATTCCGTAGCTGACCGTTCGCAGCGTCGTCGCAGAATGTTGATTCGTTTGCGGTACTGCACGGAAGCGCGACACGGCCATCACTTGGCGGTAAAAAGCAAACCCAAGCAATAAGCTGAATCGACTCTCCACTAGACCCAGATCTCTGCCCATCCAACCGCTCAATCACTAATCCGCACGAAGTCCGTTTTTCCTCCAATACTTCTATAGAACATTTCACGATCCCCAGCCGCCATCAGCTCACCTTTTCAGCCTGCTCAGGCCGACTCCAAGGCCATAGCATGCCTCGGCTGACGTACTCCATATGCAGACTAGATCTTTAGCGCATGCTAGGCGCCTAGACTGAACGCACGTTTTCATTCTTGGTGTGATGGAGCGGAAACGTTTGGCATGGCATGGCATGGCGGAGTGGGGATGGTGTGGGTCGTGGCGGGGCTGCATGCGCCAGCCTCCGAAGAAGGCACGCCTGAAGACTACGCGTTCGACCGAGGCTGACTAGTGCTGCTTTTGCTATGTACGATCACAGTTGAGGATACTGGAAATGTTTCAGCAAATTTTTGAAGTGAACTTGTTGATCGTTGCGAAGGTGGATGGTGACAATTTAATTTGTTCATGATGGTATCTTAATAACTATGTACACGTACTCTGACTATGAAAAGCCTTGATCGCAGCCATAATGGCATGAGGTATCGCAATCGCAGGCTATGCAAACAAACCAAGAACGCCTTTTTGAGGACAAAGCCTGATCCAAAATATTAATGCCTCTCAAATTGAGGCTTGTCTGAAGGATATCGTACCTCATTACGTAACTTCTTCTCTCATGCAGACGACTTCTTCTCGCCATCCTCACCATCGGTGCTGATAGCGGTACTGAGGTATCGCTCGAAGACGCGCTGCTCAAGGTCCACGGAGCCTCGTCTGGCGACGCCCCTCTTAGCGTCGCGTCTCCTGAAGAAGACGCGCTTGCCCCACTTCCAGGACTCAATACCGAGGAAGAAAAGGAATGTAGCAACGAAGACAATTCCCCATTCCCAGCTAATGCCCTTGTGCCTGAAGACCGTGTCGTTAATCACAGGGATGTACAAGACAGGAAATATGGTAATGAAGGCGAAGATAATGGAGAAGAAAAGGAACTTGTTGCGCCAGACGTCGATAGCCCATTGCGTAAAGTACTTCTTCGAGCCTGGCTGCATCGCAAAGAACGATCGGCGCATGTCCAACATTTGCCATGCAAGGAAGACGGAGAACCAAGTGAGGCAGGCGAAAGTCGTCGCACGAGCGCGGAAGACAGTGTCGCAAGTGTCGTTGTAACCTTCGTTGCAGCCGTTTCCAAGGTTGCCGTCGCCCCAACCAAACATGACTAGGGTGAAAGCACCGAGACAGAGGGCAGCAATCCAGAGACCGTATACGAACATGTCTAGGATGACTTCCAGAGTAAAGACACCACGCTTGAGCTATTTTTGTTGTCAGTACATGTTCGGCTGTCTATTCTGAGATGAAGACAACTTACATTTTGAGGGGGTCGAGTCAGGATGTCGGGAGCTGCGATCTCAAAACCAAGACCCATATCGGGAAGAGATGAGGTGATCATGATAATCCACATGACTTCGACGGGAGACACTGGGAAGACTGAGAGCCCACTCTCATCCTTGAATGCGAGACCAATAAGCAGAACGCAGGCTTGCGCAATGTTCTGGGCGAGCAAATGAAGAATGAACTTTTGAATGTTGTCGAACATGCGGCGACCCTCCTCGATAGCGTTAAGGATCGAAGCGAAGTTGTCGTCGGTCAAGACAATGTCGGAAGCATCCTTGGCTACATCGGATCCGGTACCCATACCAATACCGACATCTGAGCGCTTGAGGGATGGAGAGTCGTTCACACCATCACCAGTCATACCAGTGAAAGCCTTACGTCGGTGTAGGGCGTCGATCATACGAACCTTGGTGTTCGGGGCGCATCGAGCGATAACAAGAGGAAGTAGCGGAAGGGCGTCAATTTCATCGTCTGTGAGTTTATCGAACTGAGAGGCGGTCATGACCATGGCATCAGTGGTTTCCTTAGGGAGAGTGCTCATGTTTGAAGGCACAATGCCAACTTCAATAGCGATTGCGCGCGCAGTCCCGGGATGGTCACCAGTAAGCATATGAACCTCAATACCGGCCTTCTGGCACTGACGAACAGAGCCGGCAGTCTCGGGTCGGGGCGGATCGTACAGTCCAACAAGACCGCGGAATGTCAATCCGTTTTCGATACTCTCACGATCGAGATCCTCGCCCTTGCTTGGTGATGGACCGTCATACTCCTTGCTTGCAAGTGCCAAAACACGAAGACCCATGGCAGCCAAAGATTCCATGTTTGCCAAAATCTCCTCGCGATAGTCATCGTCAAGATCAACGCCGGCTTCGCTTTCGTCGTTATAAACGCGGGTGCAGGAGTAGATGACACGCTCGACAGCGCCCTTGGTGAAAACAAACTTCTTAGAGCTGGCGGTCTCTTCGAAGATGACGGACATCTTCTTGACATCAGAGTCGAATGGAAATTCGGCGAGTTGCTTCCAGGCAGGCGAATCTCCGCCGGTGTGTTCAAGACGGTTCCACTTGAAGCGGGAGGCAAAGACTTGAATAGCAATTTCAGTTGGATCACCACGTGCGTTCCATTGACCTTCTTCAGTCTGATGAACATGGGCCAAGTTGGCGAGCGAAGCAACCTTGAGGTAGTCAACCAGGTGTTCATTGTCTTGCAAAAGCTCTTCAAAGGTTTCTGTCTTCTCGTCTACGTCGGGATCGATATGTCGGGGTTGCTTGGGGTTGAAGGTCAGAGCGCCAACAGTGGGATTGTGAGGCTCGTCGGACTGGCCAACGGAGTAGGTGCCCTTGGCGGGGATCCATGCCTTCTTGGCAACCATTTTTCCTTGTGTAAGAGTACCAGTCTTGTCGGAACAAATGTCGGTGACACCACCCAGGGCCTCGAGCGACTTCAGGTTGCGGACAATAACGTGGCGCTGAACCATGCGCTTTGTACCGGCGGCCATTGTGATGGTCAAGACAACAGTGAGCGAGGCAGGAATCATACTGAGACCAGTGGCAACAGCGTAGATGATAACCTCGCTGTTGTTGGAGAAGCTGTTGGCAGCCAGAACGATGATTGCGCAGATAACAGCGACGCCGAAAAGGAGGATAGCAAGACGTGCGAGCTTCTTTTGGAGTGGAGTACCGACGTTGACACCAAGGAAGTGGCCGACGGCATCAGCAGCGGTCAAAGACCATGCCTGAGCGTAACGATGCGGTTTGGCCTTGCCGTCAGGCTTGCGCTTGACTTCGCGGACACGGGAGCCCTTCTGTCGAAGAGACATAGCAATAGAACCAATTTCAGTGTACATTCCAGTAGCAAAGACGACGCCACGAGCGCGTCCCTTGGTGACGGTAGAGGAGCTGTAGGCGACGTTGAGGCGGTCACCAGGGCCGGTTTCTTCGTCGAAGACAGCATCACCATCTTTGTTGACGGGGAGAGATTCACCGGTAAGAAGAGCCTCGTCGGTTTCGAAGTTCAGTGCTTCGATAATACTGTATACGAGTTAGTGACGTACTAACTAATTTAGCGCCATTCAACGTACCGAATATCAGCTGGGACAGTGTCACCTGTCTTCAGCTCAATCAAGTCACCCGGAACAACCTCAATTGTTGGGATGGTAACAGTCTTGCCGTCTCGTGCGGCGGTAGCGGTCGGAGAGGAGAGCGATCGAAGAGAATCCATTGTCTTTTCAGCATTGAACTCTTGGACGAAACCAATGACGACGTTGAGCAGAATGATAGCGGTTACTACACCACCCTCAATCCACGACTGGATAGCAAAAGACACAGCCATTGCAGCGATCAAGATCTGTGATTGTTAGATTTGTTGAGATTGGGTATCAAGTTAAATTACATACCAATGTCATTGCGTTGGCGACCTGCCTTAGTAGAATCTTGCCTGGTGAGACTCCTCCGTCGTCACCCAGGTCATTGTTGCCGTACTTCTCATGTCTTGACTTTGCTTCCGCAGTAGTCAGACCGTCTTCGGCGTTACACTTGATCTCGTTGACGACGTCCTTCCATGGTAGGGCATGCGCGGGCTTGGAGAGAGGCTCATTGGCCTGACCGGACCTGTGGCCTTCGAGAGATGGTTCCTTCTTGCCCATAGTGAATGAATAGCGGTGCTAAGGGGAAGATGGGTGCAAGCAAAAGATCTAGATCCGGGGACACGAGTGCCTTTAAACAAGCAAGTTGGAACGCATGCGCACACACCATGGGGACGGCCAAGAACCGTGCGATATCGAGAGCTTGGCGTGGTGGTAGAAATCTTGGGTCCAGTACAGGGAACGTCATCGTCGGTCACGTTCGGCACTCGTCAACAAAGACATGCATGCATGCCTCAGAAGTGTGGTTGTATGGCCTCTGGATATCTCGGACAGCATATCTGATCCTGTAAGCCATCTTTTGCCCTGTATGACAACATCATCGCTCGAAACACAAACGATGAAGCAGCAGAACTGATCATCTGGCGCCGGGAATGACGACAGCGGGGTTGGATAACACCCGTTCGCAAGCGGGGTGAAAGAAGAGAAGTGGCGAGCTCTTCGGTCCCGCCAAGCTTCCCGCTCGCCTATCATCCGCCTAGCCGTGCTAATAGTCTGGGCGCAGGCGTAATTGTGCCGAGTTCCGTACCGAAGGCTCAACACCAACGTCATTTTGCACCAGTTTCCAAGCACCCTACCTGTGACTACGCTGCAAAAGCCTGCCGGTAACCTTCACGAGCACCCTTTCGCCAAGCCCTGATTCCTTCGCATCTCTCGAGGCGCCTAACGTCTATCCGTGCAGCTTGCTGATTTCGCGTCACGCCGCATGCTAACGGCTGAAGCTTGTCACCAACATGTCAAGGCGTATTTTCCCTTGGGTATCCCCACCGAAATGGGTCGAGTGTCAGCCTCTTCTCGCTCTTATCTGCCACCGGTGGCTTGACTGCAGCGCCGAGCCTCACATGCAGGTCACGAGACTCAACAATCACTTCTGGCCCTGCACCAGCTTCCGCTTTACTCCACACCTTCCATCCTCATACGGAAGATTCTAGTCGCATGCTAAATCTCGCCTATCATTGTGCTTGTATATTGCTCATCACTCCATGACAAAATCATCGCGAAGAGATTCCGTGCGCTGTGAGCACAATAACTCACATCAAAGACATGAAAGACGCTACGTGATTACACAGATATTAGATCATGCTCACAGCCAAAATGCCTTTAATCGGCTACAAGTGGATAACCGGTCGACTAACCCCACCTGTACCACGATTCAGACAAGCACGCAAGAGATGGGCCCATTATCCCACGCCTTGGCGCTGGCTCGGCCATCACCCTGGCGCGGTCCAGTCTGAGTATCCCAGTCTTCGGAGGCTCGGAGCAGCCATCAGAGAACCAAACTTTGTCGGCCGTGGAATTGCCATTAGTCGACTGTTAAACGGCTATACTCTCGTCCACTGCTCGTCTCAGCTCCTTCAGAACAACTCCTCCTTCAGCAGTGATCGAGCACCCACTAGTCGGAAGTCCAGCCACATTACCGGAGTTGTCCTCAAGAGCCTGCCACTGCATTAAAGAGAGAAACTCAACATCTTCTTAGAGCAGGGTACTTCTTCCTACTACAATAAAGCGTATTAAGATTAATGTAGATATTAAATAGAAATCTAGAAGGCTACAATACTATTAGTCGTTATAAGTTTTTTTTTCTTAGGTGTAAGTTGCAAGGTAAAGCTTATTATCTTTATACATGTTCGGTTTTTCTCTTGTGTACAGTGCTGCTGTTCTTCTTCTTCTTGTTCCTGTTGAAAGTAGGCAAACCGAACGCTTGTCAAAGAAGGAAACGTCCATGTCGGAGCCTGGCAAGGAGATCAAGATCGAGTAAGCTACCATGTCTTGTAACGGAATGAGATGAAATTTAAGGGAATGCGGCGAAAACAGATGCTGAGAGTTGGTGTCGGTGAAATCTTCGTCACAAGGAGACACAGGCTGGATACATTGGTGCCTAGCCATAGGCGTGAGTGAAAATTAATAGTATGGTTGATAAATTCTCAGAGCTCGCTCTGAATCTGAACTTCAAGGTAAGGATGTTTAGGAAAATATATACCGGGCAAGAAGTGAATATGTACAGGAAGATTGGGTCAGGAATGACGAGTGTTAGGCGCCTGGCGATGCGCACTCACTGACCAGCAAGTTTTGTGATCGGCGGTGTGTTCGGGTAGAAGCTCGCCGGCATGGTTGGAATAGGGATAGGGCTAGCAGTACCGAAGGCCGTCTTGAGATTCTCCTTCATTGTAGGTGCAGAGTAGCCGGTAGGTGCAGCAGTTTGAGTGCTGGTAGTGGCTGCATACGACGGTCCAGTTCCCTTCTTCAAGCAGAAACCACTGCCGTAGCCGTTCTGGCATTGGTAGATGTTGTGATTGCCCTTTTCAGTCCACATAGCGAGATCTTGGATGTTGATATCCGTGCAAGGTGCCTGCAGATGCGGAGGTACGAAGTTAGTGATGTCACGCATACAATCCGTATAGTCCCCACTTACCTTGTCTGCGCAGGCCACCTTGACAGGCCCACGGTTCAATCCGTATTCGACCGTGCCTTTCCAGTTCTTGAAAGTCATGTTGCTGAGCTGTACACCATTGCCGGCAATAGCACTCATCGAAGCCCACTTCTGGTCGATATCGAGAGACCATGCGTTACCGTGACCGATAAAGTTCTCGAAAACGACGTCTTCGACGTAACCACTGCCACCGTTTGACTTGACCATCATCATCTGGTTAGACTTCCATGTGTAGATGTTCTTGTAGACGATGGAAGAGATGGCAGTATCGGCGCCAAGCGATCCCATAGCGCAGCCGCCACTCCAGTTACAGTAGATGTTCTCGATCAGGACGTTCTTGGAAGGTGACTTTACAGTGACACACTCGTCCTTGTTAGTTACCATGATCTGTAGCTCTCGTTAGTGAGACAATATCATGCGAAACTTGTTGCAATACTCACGTCATGGACCCTGGATTTTGAGTTACGAAGTTAGTGCTTGTCTCACATACAATTGGTACGTGGATACTCACCAGATATTGGTACCAGTAACATCCACACCGTCAAGACCGCCCCAGTCACCTCCGCGGATAGCCATGTTGTATGCTTCACCATTCGTGCAAGTGTTGATGACGAAGTGGAACATGGGAGCATCGACCAGAATGATGTCCTGAGGTACGGGTATACCAGGTCAGTATGCATCTTAGATGCAGTTCATATAGGGACGTCTCTTACGTGGACGGAGAAATTGTTTGACTTCTCGATGCGGAGAAGGCGAGCGCCGTTCCGCTTGCCGTTCTTGTGGTCCTGGTAGCCGTTACCTACAACCGAATTAGTACTATAGAAAAGTAGGTTTACACATGAAGTGATATACCTTGAATAGCACCCTTGCCGGTGCTGCTGAACATCTCGAAATCGTTTGCATTTCTAACGAACAGCATGTTACCAGCCTCAGTACCTGTGCGATAGATGATTCCGTCAAGCTGAAGTGCCCATGCCTTGCCACCTTCAAAAGTAACCCATGTCTTCAAGACATAGTCTCCGGAAGGAACAATGACGGTACCACCTGCCTTGCAAGCCGTGAATGCCTTAAGAAGTGCTGGACCAAGATCTGTTGACTTGTCCGCCTTCGCACCGTAGTTCATGACATTGCAAGTCTTCTTAGTGGTTTTGGCAGCGTGTGTAGTCAGAGGCCCGACCTTGCCCGATAACTGACCGAACGCTGGTGCAATGGCCGCGGCTGCGAGAAGGAATTGCGAAAAATGCATTCTGAAAGGAAAAAAAAACCTGCTCAGCAGGAACGAGTGACTGGAATAGTAAAGAGCGATAGCGAAAGAACGACTTTTGAGAGATGAGGAACCTAGAGGAACTTGGAGCTGAGAGCAGAGCTTGAGATATACGCGTACGGCAAGCCTAGACACAAAGACCAACTACAAATCCTAGGTGGAGATTCAAACTAATCTCAAGTTCCGAGTGGGTCCACAGGCATGACGGGCCCCTATATTGCAACCCCAGGAAACCCAACGATTGCGACGTGGATCATTGCTTTGTGATTCTGTTCCTGCGATCTACAAGACCCAGTAAGTAGTCCGCAGAGAATTTCTTCTTTCCTAGGCAGAGCGCCGGTGAATTCTCCGACGTCCACAAAAGAATGCTAAGGCACGCGTCACTTCATCTATCGCGTACAAGCTTGAAGCAGCGAGCCGATTAACGTCATGTCGGTAATGCTTGTCATAATGCTTGACCCAGTCCAGTTTCAACGTATGCGCCTCGAACCTCTGTGGCGCAAAAATCGAGGCCGCCTTTCCCGATTGATCCGTAGACTGCTGTCAGTTGAGTGTTCGTGGAGATGAACAGGTGCGGGACGATGCCGATGCCGTGAGCTACGAAAGGATTCGTGGAAACATGTTTCATAAGCTGTTATGAAGGAGCGATGTGCGCTGGGGCCCTCCAACGGGTTCCTATCGTGGCATATTACCCCGAAGACACGTCGAAAACAGCGGACTTAAGCGTGCTGACATGATGTGTTTCGTGAAAGATGGGTGCAGATGGCTGATAGGGGAAAGAGCTACGCCGAAACGCGTGACGCGGGTTGATCTCGGAATCTCCGGAGCTGATCGGGAACAAACAGATCGCATCCCATCGCGCGAGCAATTGACACGTCCGTTTATCGGAACTCAAGACCGGTCACTCAGGACTCATGTCGCATCGCCCGCCTCATTTTTGTCTTTTGAAAAATGATATGGACTTTGGCCAAATGGACTATACACTCGTCCGCTGCTCCACCCGTGGAACAACGCGCTGTCGCGTAACCGCCTTTGTCTTGCTGTTCTCATCATGCCCTTTCTTTTGACCGAAGATCAGTTTGATCAGGTTATTGCGAGACTATTTGAATTCTCGAGACGAACCTTCAACTGATTCTTGGGAATGTAAAAGCGGCCTGGTGGCGCTGATCAGTCTATTTGATAGCTGGTTGCGGCATCTTGCTTCTCTGTTTGTTTCCGCAATTCCAGCCAGCTTCTTCGCTACCCACAACCCAAATTGGCTCTGGAAGGTTCAGATGAGCACATAGAATTGCTGCAAATTACATCCACCCAACAGATGGAATCATCACGTAGGGGATAAACAGCAGAACGCATGCGACACCGTACGACACCATGACGGCTGGTGGTCTGATACTTGTCCGCCACCGCTCCCACTATCTTGGACTTTAGCCCGCGTAAGTATTTCATGAAGCTTCTTTCCGGACTCTCTCGCTTTCCATTCGGAGTGAACATCTCTCCACTCTGTCAAACATCACATGCCTATCTGGCTCATCTGTTCCGCTTTCTTTGATATCTTGTTGATATTCTCATTATCAAGCCCTTCACCCTTCGTGGCGTGCTGGCTCATTTCTGCAAAGCGCCGCAGGGCAGACTGTATAACATCGACGTCGAGCAAACTATCGATCATGCGAGCCAAGAATTCCTCACCAGCTAGACCAGCTTGATACACGACTTTTGCATAGTATTGCAAAATCAATGCGAGGGCTGTAACCAGCGTTGTGATAGCGATCACGCTCGGTGTTGTCTAAAGAGGCTGCCAGACTCTGACATGGTAGAAAACGTGGACTAGGCAGAAAAAAACAGTAAAATGCAGATGAAAAGAGGTCAGTCATGGTAGCGGGCTATATGCCATCTCAAGTCAGCCTCCTTATAACACGCTGCATAGCACATGCATGGAGCTAGACTAGGCGACAAGATCGAAAATCTACTGTAAGATCACATAACGAGTCCACAAACTAATGAAGGTTTTTGATAACTCAGTATTATTTGATACAAGATACCTGCTGGCGTAACACGACAATCCTTCTGTGATGCACCATAAAGCATACCTAGAAGAACTAAATGAAAAAGATGGTCCTAACGGAGTAATAACTATCCTTGTATCGTACCAACGCCTTGCAGAATACAAAATCCGATAGGCATTCCCGAACTCCTCACTGCGCCAATGCTCTTTTTTTATCACCATGCCATGCACTAAGTAGTTGAACATATCCTTTTTGCCCTTAAACACCATACACCTTTCTAAACATCCAGTCACCTCAACCCGATTACAAGTAGCCCATCCAAAGTGGATCACACTGACTCAACTTAGCCGGATGCACCGCAACAGCCACAAGATCCACAACCGTCTGGTTAGCCGGTAGGTTAGCACCCGTAGGCAGACTACCAATTGCACTAGCCCTCTTGACCACAAGATCGCTATTGCTCTGCACGCTTTCCCTTAGCACCTCTGGCGTAAGTTGGCTGGCCTTGTGCTGCGACGTAAACCAGTGGTTCATTTCATCGCGCATGAAGATACTGAGTTGCATCTCCAGCTCGCCTTCTGGTTCGATCAAACAGCGTGCCACGGTCATGACGCTAGGCGCGAAGATGCCCTCGAGGTTCAGCGGACCCATGAGAGTTTGTAGGTTGGGTGTCAGACGGAATGGAACGGGCTCAGAGTTGTGCAATATAGGCTTTCCGACTGCCATGCTGGGGATGAGCTCGGAGCCCCAGATG